TCAGTCATTTCAGTTATGTCCAACTCTTTCTGACCTCATTTGAAGTTCTCAGGGCAAAGATTCTGGAGTGGTTTGCCATTTCCTTCTCCAGCTCATTTTACAGTTGAGGAAACTCAGGCAAACTGTGTTAAGTGACTTGCCCAAGGTCACACAGTAAGTGTCTGAAGCCAGATTTGAACTCAGGTCTTCCTAATTCCAGTACTGGCACTCTATCCACTGCATTATTTAGCAAGGGCCCTTTCAATTTATTTATAACTGAAATCTCTTATATGTGTTGTCTTCCCCATTAGAATGGGAGTGAGCTCCTTGAAAGCAGGGATTGACTTGCTTTTTTATTGGTATCCCCAATGCTTAGACCAATGCCTTGTACATACTAAGTATGTAGTCAATGCTTTTTCCAAACATTCAATTCTTCTTCAATATTAAAGTTATTGTCTGAGTTGTTCTCTTGGAGATGCCTACTTTACATCAGTTAATGGAAGATTTTCCAAGTTAATATAAATACTTCATATTTATTTATACTATATGTTTTATATATTATACATATGTATATTATATTGATTTCTTATGGTGAAATAACATTCCATTACATTTAGATACCACAAGTTGCTCACCCATTCTCCTAATGATGGCCACCTACTTTGTTTCTATTTTTTTTAGAACAACAAAAAGTACTGCTATAAAAAACAGCTATTGGACTTTTATCTTCTTGAGTTAACAAGCCAGTAGTGGTGTCACTGGGACAGAGGGAACATACAGTTTACTAACTTTTCCAGCATAGTTCCAAATTGTTTTCCAGAATGTTGGACCAGTTGACAATTCTAACACTTACTGTGTTCATCTGTTATCTTTTCTGAACTGATAGGTATAGGTTGACCCTTAGTATTGCTTTAATTTGAATTTCCCTTCTTAGTAGGAATTTGGTACATCATTCTATGTCCTGGTAGCTTGCATTTCTTCTTTTGAAAATTGCCTGCTCTCTGTAGCTAAGATCAAAGAAACAGGGAAAGGACTCATATGTACAAAAAATATTGTAGCAACTCTTGATGCAGTAGCAAAGAACTTGAAAGTAAAGGGATGCCCAACTAGTAAACAAATTATGGTATGTGAATGTAATAGACTATCATTGTGCCATAAGAAATGACAAAATGGGCAATTTCAGAGGTATCTTGGAAGACCTCTATGAACCGATGCAGAATGAAGTGAACAGAACCAAGAGAACAATCCATACAGTGACAATAATGCTTTAAAGAAAAATAACTTAGAAAGATTTGAGAACTCTGATGAAGCCCAGAAGACTAAACATTAAATAAACCACCTATCTTCTGAGAGAGAGGTGATACACTTAAAATGCAAAACGAGACATACATTTTTGGGTATGACCAATGTGAGGATGCATTTTGCTGAACTCTGCATATCTGTTATAATCATTTTTTCTTTTATTAGGAGAAATAATAAATGGTTATAATAATAATTTATTTTTAAAGGTTGCCTGTTCCTATCCTTTTGTCTACTAACCTATTAGGAAATGCCTCTTATTACAATATATTTTCATCGGTTCTCTATGTATTTTATATATATCAGACCTTTTAGAATTTCTGCAAGGATTTCCCCTAGTCAACAGCATCTCTTCTTATTCTAGCTGCAATGATTTATTATGCAAAAGGTTCTCAATTTTACATAATCAAAATGGTCTGTCAGTCTTTTATGATCATCACTATTTTCTATATATTTTATATATTATATATTTCTATATATTTATTTATTATATTATATATTATATATTATATATTATGTTTATATATTATATATTACATCATATAATATATAATACATTATTATATATTATATAAATGTTATTATATATAATATATAATATATAGTATATAGTATATATAATAACATATAATTATAATATATTACATATAATATATTTTATAATATATTATATATATTATATTTATTTCTATATATTTATAGATCTATATATATTATTTCTATATATTTTATATATTTCTATATATTTTATATATTTTCTGTTTGTTTAAGAATTCATTCCCTAAACAGAGTTGTGGAAAGTACTTCCTTCCATTCTAAAATTTTTTAATAGTTTATATAAAATTTATATATACATATATAAAATTTACATAAAATTTCTATTTTAATCACTCATCCTCCATTTGGGTCCAATGCCTTTCTGCTCCAATAAGCCCTCTCTCACATAACAAAAGGTGGTACTTCATTTGTAATAGTGAGGAGGAATGGAGGCATTGCAGAAAAGGATCATCAACATGATCAGTAAACATTTTTGTGCGAGTGTCACGAGGGCACTGTGTTAAGCATTTAAACTATTTGTGCTGTCGTATCAATTCATAAAAATCTATCTGTTATCTAAATCTATCTAAATAAGGACAGAAAAGTAGAAAAAGACACAATTTGGCAAGATAACATCTACTTTTTTCAGACTTTTTCAAAGTTGGTGAAAACTGGACATTTTAAAGTGATGTGGGACAGTGCAGGTGGCAGAACAACTTCAGTTTGAGCCCTGGCATTTCTGGCCTTGTTGTCATTGGAGTCACTATTTCTTCTCTAGTTTTCAAAATGGCTATTTTCATAAGCCTGAACCTTCTGGTGTATATGCAGAGGAGCGAGTTTCTTTGACTGGACAAAGAAGATGGAGGGCAGCAGCCTGGTGTGAGTACCTGGGGCTCTGGCCTGGAAATTGGCAGACCTATTTGTACTCTTAGTTTTGCCATAACTTGCTATGTGACCTTGGGCAAATCATTAGCTAATCTCTCTCAGCCTCAGTTTATTCATCCCTAAAATGGAAGAAGAATGGATAGTCTAGACTAGCGTTCCCCAGGTAGCGAACTTTGGGCCCCTGGGGACTAAGGAATTATTTCAATAAGTCTGTGTATCCCTACATAAGCATACAGACCCTCAGCAGAATGAATGCAGAATACTCCTAACTTATATGTACTATTCATTTTCAAATGTCATCACTGATCTAAACCACCCCAAAGGTTTCTTTAAGTTCTGAAATTCTATCAGTCTCTGATTGGCATGCAGTGGAGAGGGAGAAAATAACAACTAGGACCAGGATATAAGGATTGTTTAGGAGATAGGGAAGACATCTCCGAGGGCCGTGCCTTACCTACTTTTTCCAGTCACAAACTCTACTCAGTTCTTCCTTCATCCTTCCTTCATCTGCCATCAGTTTTAGTCTGGTAAATTTTATTTAAGGGGTGTGTGTGTGTGTGTGTGTGTGTGTGTGTGTTGGGGGGTTGAGCAAGATAATAGAGAATTTATTCTTTATGGAAAGCTTTTTGAAAATAAAAATGATTCATTCATTTTTAGAAGGAGGTGCTTCAGGCATCTGGCCAGCCAAATGGAGGGTTGAATAAATATCAGGAAATATCAGGTAAAATGACCTCTTCCCCAATACTTCACCTCTAATCCTACGATGCCACTGTCTGGTTAATTCAGACAAAGATGGGATGAAGAGTCTTGAGGGGGAGGGGAGGATCTAAATTATGAAGATAATTGCAATTCTTTAAGTTGGTAGGATTTGTATTGGTCTGCTTTTGGTACGATGAAGTTTCTTTCTGTATACTTCCCCAATATCTTCTAGGCATTCTCAGGGATGAAAAAAACACCTACATCTTCCAAGGAGGCAAGGAACATAGGAATTTGCCAGATTCTGCAACTGAGCTCAGCATAAGCTCAGTGTGACTCCTGAGATATGAAGGAAATTGGTGAGAAGTCAAAGAGAGCAAAGTGGGAACTGGAACAAAAAGAAATGTGTTCAGAGACCCTTCTCTGCCCCTCCCACCTAAATCACTCTTCTGCCCCAGAAAGGTAGGGAAGATCCTAGACCCACAGACTGAATCAAATCACCATTTCCAAATTTTGGTTCAGCCACAAAGTGGAGACCTAGTAGGTGAGATTGATTCAGAGAGGAGCCAGAATTCCTTTTTCAGCTCACAGGAGACCCAGAACCCTGAATCATCCAAACACTGGAGATGCTAGGAAAATATTTTGGGCATAGTTGGTTCTATACTCCAGGCTTCTGACCATGCCTGGCAGGAAGGTGGTGGCATCATAGAAACAGGCACTTCTAAGGACTCAGTTGCCTTCAGCTAAGGCAGGATACCCCTGCTCCTCACTGTGGGGTGAGGGCTTTTATATAAGGGGAGCTTGATCTGAGTAGCATCCACAATCTTAGTCCTGGTTGGGCTAGGAAAGCTTCCTCCCCTCTCTAGCCCCAGCCACAGAGGTGCTCCTTTGGAAGGACTCATCCTCTTTCTATATGAGTTTGGAAGCCTTCCCCTCTTACATTTAAGTCTTCCTCTTGGAATGAATTTGCTCTTCCAGTCTAGGCAGACTAATCCCTCTCCAGATTCCTCTTGGCTTCCCTAACCTCATAGGAACAGTAGTTACGACTCACACAGAGAAGATCGCCAGGGGGATCTGGGTGTTAATTCACAACTTGTGGAAACCTCTGAGACCATCTCACCCCTCCGCCTGTCACCTCAGTGTCTCCAAGCGGGAGAGGCAGCCACAGGAATCCCAAGGGACTCCAGAGCCAATGCCTTATACATTAAGAAAAAAAATAATGAAAACATTCAAAACCTGAAGGAATTTTAGATTGGCTAGTCCAACATCCTCATCTAAACTAAGAGGAGAAGGGCTTTGATAGGGGTCAGGCAGGTAATAACAGATTCTCTAACTCGTAAATCAGGGTTCTTTCTCCTGTGCCACTGCTTCATCCGTTGGTTAGTGCAACGGGGACCCCTTTTGGAGGCCAAAGCAAGGATCGGAGACTGGGGAATGTACTCTGTATTGAGCCTATTCGAAAGCACAGAGTTATCTGGGACCCATCTCCACTAGGTCCAGTAAAATCTCAGCCTGGGCTAGGTGAAGAGTAGCAAGGCGTGGACATGGGCGGGATGGGGCGGGTCTGGGGAATTGTAAAGGACAGCTCCGCCCCGAGTGCTCACAAGAGGAGCTGGTGGAGGGGCTGACCCAGCACAGAATCCCGGGCAGGCCCCCAGGAACGCAAAGCTGGGTCAGGCCGGTCCATTTCCTCTTCTGTACTTCTTCCATCATTCGTACCCTTTCGCGAGCTCAGAGTCCTTCCCTGAGCCAGAGCAAGCTTTCCAGGCGGTCAAGGAATCTTCACTCCGCTAAGTGAGCACTGCTTTCTCCTGGCGTCAGTGAGGGGCACCAGCCCGGGCACTGAAGCCGGAGGCATCTGCACCCGGCGCCTTCGCCCGCCCTCCCGTCCTGACTGGCAGCTCCTGGTACTGGAGGCGGGGGAGTGGCTCCCATCGCGCCAGTAACTGGGAAAGAAAGCCCCCAGGACAGGAGCCGGCGCTGGAGCATCTGGATGCTGGAGCCTGCAACCTGCGAGAGCTGAAGAATGGAAAGCGGTCCGATGCTTCTTGTCTTCTTGTGGCTCATTGTGAAGAGCCTGCGGGTCTCAGGTAAGGAGCCATGGGCACACGGGAGCCAGTCTTGAGGGAAAAGCCGGGGGCCAGGCCAGCGGATGGGGGCCGAGAAGGCGGGGGAAAACCCAAGTCAAAACCAATATTGCCTTTTGCTGTCGCAGAACCAGGGAGCTAAGGTTTCATCCGGTCAAAGCCGGGTGAACCCACAGGTTATACTGGAGGCCGGAATGGATTATGAGGTGGCAGGGGAACGCGCAGCCGGCCAACCAGCCTAGAGCTGGAAGGGGCCTTCGGGCTCACCATGTAACAATAACAACTGGCATTTATTTAGCGCTTCAAAGTTTTCAAAGCACTGTATATACATTTTTCTCCTTTGAGTCTCACAACATCTCTGTGAGGCAAATGCTGCAGGTAGCATTATGACTATTTTACAAACGAGGAAACGGAAACTCAGAGAGATTACCTGACTCGGCCACGGTCACACTGCTAGTTAGTGTTAGAACAGGAATTCGAACTCAGGTCTTCCCGACTCCAAGTGCAGAACTCATAGATGCCATGCTTTCTCCAATCTACTCCAAACAAGCCCGGTAGTTTACATATAATGAAACTAAAGCCCAGAAAAGGGAAGTCATTTGCCCTGGGACGCACAGCTAGTAGCGGATCTGGGATGCTTCTCTGACTCCCAGTTCACTGCTTCAATCAGGTACTTAGAGACACCTAAAACCAAAGGCGAGGGAGGTGGGGAGTGGGGTGGGTGGACAGGTATGTCTCGAGACTCAGGTTCCGGACTGTGGCATAGCCACAATGTGCAATCGGGGGAAACTTTCCAAAAGAGCCAGAGTGGCCGCTGGGCCTCGGAAAGCCGCACAGAAATCGAGGTGAAGAGCCCCTGCCTCCCAACTCCACCCCCTCACGCCCCTGACGTTTGGGGAAGGAGGATCTTTTCTCGTGGCCGCCGTAGAGTCTTTGCTGCAGGAGGGAACCCTGGTCCTCTGTTGGAGGCGTGGGGAGGCTGCGGGAGAAGCTTGGGCAACCTCCTTGGGCCGGGGCATCTTCAGCTGCCCTCTCCTTCTACGGGGACTTTGCACTTGCAAAGCAGTTATCGCTTTGTCAAAGCGTCCCCTCTCTGAGATTTAAATCCCTTTGTTTGAAGTGTAAGCCCGAAAATCGGCCCCACAGGAATAGCCACCTTCCGTGCCAGTTGCCCTTTCTTGGCTCTGAAACCGCATTTTCCGCGAGATTAAGATTACATAGAAACTCTATGCATTAACTTCCTTTGGGGACTCTCACAGACACACACGCTGGGAATGTTGTTTTCCCTGAAGCCACACTTTATCGATTTCTAGAAAATAAAAAGGTTCTTCAGTGTTTACATTGAGGCAAAGGGATCCAGAGAGCTGAAGCAATTATCTGCATAATTCCTGCTACTGGGGAGCTGGGGAGGGGGAGAGAATTATTTTTGTCTTTCAAAGAAAAGATTCCTCTCCCTCAATTATCCAGATTGTCTACATTGATTGCATTTACCTTATAATTATTGGGCTCTCCAAGCCTGAGAACTAGGTCAAATGGCTCTGTCTGTTGCTAAGGCACCCTCCCCCCCACCCCTCCCCCCAGCCCCTTATACTTAGCGTCCAGGTCTAGGGTCCAGAAAATGTGGGGGCTATTTGGATTCCAGAAAGAAGTGCCTTTCTTTCAAACTCAGAGGAAAGAACTTAGCTTTTCACGAAGGGGCCCCGCTCAGCGATGGGAGCAACCTTGCTCTGCGAACAGTAGGGAGGGAGCTTTTGGGGAGGGTTTGATTTCTAGTGGCATTGGTTCATAATTGCTGCCTTCAAGTTCCTCACACAGAAGCACTGTTGTCTCTCCTCCTGAGTTCGAGCAGGGACGGGTAACAGAAGGATTAATTAATTAACATTGGTTATAAGCTTTGAAAATAGAAGCAGCTTTCTGAGTAATGGTATAAGCATTTCTTTTTCTAGAATTTGTCTTGAAAATGTAAATCTATAACCAACGATCCCCAAAATGACTGCTGACTGTAACAGAAACAAGAATTTACACTAATTAAATTATGTTAATAAGTTAAATTTCTATATTGTATTGGTCCGCAATGAAGTTGTTTAATGAAAAAACTAATCTAGATTCAACTGCCATTTTTTTCTTGGATGAATTACTTTTGAGTTGTATTTGTCTCTTTTTTTTTTCAACACTACCTAGGTGATTTCTACATGGGCAATAGTTTGCATGAATAACTTTGGTTAACTGAGTTTATCTTTGGTCTTTTTTTTTTGGTGTCCCTTCCCTCCACTTTCATCACATTACCCCAAAGTGTGCATCTATAGAATTGATTATTTTTCATATCAAACTATTCATTTCCAAATGCCAGCTTGTATTTCTCAACCTAATGGAGTTTTTAAAAAAATGTTTTATGGATTTTTTTTTCATTATTGTCCCTTCCCAATATCTTTATACTACAGAACCCTCCATAGGAAAGAAAAATAACTAGGTAAAACAAAGGGGTATATCCACAGTGTATGTAACACTCCACACCTCTCTGGGAGGATCCAGCTTAGTATTTTTTAAATCAACTTTAGGGATGCTGTATTAACCTTAATTTATTTTTTCTACTATCCCTAGGAAAAGCAAACTTCTAAATAATTTTTAAGGTTTTACTTTGGTTTTGGAAAGCATTATTTCATTACACACTTGGTGAGAGGCAATTATTCCTTTCTAATGAAAACTTTTGTAATACCAAGTTGATAATGGATGTTAACATTATTGCTAAGTCAATACCAAGACCACATGCATTCTGGGACCTATTGACAAAGTTCAAGTTCCTATTTTTTAACTACACTATTGTTCTAGGGGAAGGCTGTAGAGAGTTGAGGCTTTATCCAAAGATCCAGACAAGAATATACCTTACCTCCAAAGGGAAAAGGAGGAGCTTGGGGAGATTTTAGGAGAAAGGTTTTCTTTCCGCCCCCACAATTATTCACATTGACTATGCCTTTGGGATGGGATGGGATAAGACATAGAATAAATACCTCTCCTTTCTGCTTCACTTTTCTTTTGTTGCCACATGGTTATGTCAATAAGTATCCATTTTTTCAAGTTATTCATTGGGGGGGATCATCTCAATGGGCAGATACAATATTGATCATTTCCAGTAAATTTATGCTCTGTTACACTGGTTAAGACAGTAGTGTTTTGGTACTCTGTCATTGCTTGTCAGATGAATTTCCAAATTGCACAGATGAAATTCTGGATTGTACATGAGTGCATCTTATAATGGATGTAGGATTTGATTCTTCTTCTGCAGAATGGGATATAGTGGACAAACTTTCCCATGGAGTTGTCTTGGTTTCCAACTATGGGCAATCTTTTCTTATTATCAATCTGTGACCAGAACTATGAGTCATTGGCTCTGCATTCATCAGTTGGAACTCTTGCCCTGTATCTCTAGAGAGCTACTCTGTACATTATTTGATATTGTGCTGAGTTTCCCCCTGAACTCATCTTCCCAGCCCCCTTCCACTTCCTCCTCAAGGATAGCTACCTTGAGCCATTTTTTCAGCCTAGTTAAGAGAGGAAATATTTTTTAAATGGCATAAAGGAAAATGAGGAAGGCTTACAGATTCTCCAGGTTGTATAAAGGAACTCTGCTCATAACAGCACAAAATACATTCTGAGCAAGATTCATTAATCAGCAGTTTAGGCAAATGTGTGTATCCTACATTGTATAAGAAATGTGGTCCAGGACTTTCCCAGGGGAGTGAGCTCATCAAATGAAGGTTCATTTTATTTCAATGTCCCATATCCTTTTGTAAGACCTTGAAGTTGGCAAGGCAGGAAAACAGGAACTCCACCCTCGCTCCATGAATCCCTGAGCTGCTCTCCTAGTTTATGACCATCTGCCCATTCTTCCTGTTATGACAAAGCTTGTGAACTTTTACTAGAAATGGTGAAAAGTAACATTTCAGTTTTGATACAATAAATTGCTAAAGGGCTAGTCAGTCCAAAAGCAAGAAGTTTGCTTTGTTTTGGGGATCCTTTTCCTTTTGGGATTGCTCTGACTACATTCATCTCTCTCTAGGTTTGCCCACTGTTTCACCTGATGCCCCAGTTCTCAGCCCACAAAAAGATATACTTACTGTAACGGCAAATTCGAGTCTTCAAATTACTTGCAGGTAAGGAGTTCGTTTTAAAAAACAGTCCTCTGGACTTCATGAATATATTGTTGCTAATTTGTTTGTAAATGAGGTACTGAGATCCCTTCCTAAGTAGAGTCGTGGTAGGTGAAAATGGACCTAGACTATCTGTACACTGACTCTTTTTGCCATGAACAGCCTAAGATGTGGATCTGCTTAGTTAGACACTTTAGGGCTAGATCTCTGAATGCTCAGATGGAGATGGAGAAGTCTAGGACCAAGCTCTTGGGCTAAGTGACCCTATAAATGGTTCCTGAAATATTGTGAGTTTTCCTAAACACCTAGAAGCTCATATTCCTCTTTCCCTCTCAAAGAACTTCACACCTTGATAAAATTCTGATTGTGGGAGTGAAAATTTAACATTTGTATATTACTATTCTTGTGCAAACACTCTGCATAGATAAAGGACTGGCTTTGACCATTTTAGAATTCCTATCCCTGCTTCTGCTGTGTGTAACCACACTGTTGATTTAGCTAATTGGGTAAACAAACTTCTCCATGGGCAGAAGAGGCACGTAAGGCCATTCTTCAGCAGAAAAGAGAGAAGAGCTTGGGTGTTTATCTCTGAAAAGCCCCCAGCACATATCAATACAAGTGTACTTTTTAGGGAAGCAGAGAATGGTGGAAGAATTTTGTATGATTTCAAGAGGGGCTAGAAATCTACAAAAAGACTGATTAAGCTCTTTTTGAAATGACTCTCATTTCACTGAATAGCAAGCAATTGCTAGATCTAGAGGAGCCATATGAGTAAATCCAACCTAAAATCATTTGAACCAGATGCATTCCTATAGTAAAGCCTCTAGGATACCTATATGTAAATCCTTATTAAGTATAAGTCTCGGTCAGGCAGTGTTCTCCATACTTTTAGACTCCCACTGGAGCTCATGGGAGTCCATATTCCCTCCAGTGATAAAGATCTATGAGAGACAGTCTATGGTTCAACAATCTTCCTCTAGCCCTCCCTTCCTGGATAGACCAGGACACACCTTTCTCCAGTACCTATTTCGGAAAAGGATTCTTGAAAACCTCACCCATTAAACTCTATGTAAAAGGCCAGATTTATTTGGGCAACATAGTTGTATGGGGAAGGGGGGAGGAATAGAGGATAGGGACTGGATTTATGATTTCATTGGTGTAGGGAGCTTTCAGTGAAGAATTTCCTTTATTAGTAAAGGTTAACACTTCTCTGCAACTTACAGTTTCAGTCCTAAGAGATTAAATGGTTTGCTCAGGATCACACAGTCACCGTGTGTCAGAGGCAAGACTCGAAGCCAGGTCTTCCTGGCTCCGAAGCCGCTCTGCCTTGATGCCTTCATGTCAATCTAATTTTAATCCAAACATAAACTTGGACCTTTATTAGAACAGACAGATACAGGGGACATGCCAACTTCCTCTTTGAATCTCACGCAGGTAGGCAACTTACTTTGTTGAGTGAGTGAATGAATGAATGAATGAATGAAACCAGAGTTGTCTGAGGGAACTTCTGAATCGGTTCCTGTGGCATTCTCTTGGGTGAGAATTTGACCTGTTGTCTTGGGAAGAAGGCCTTGAAGCAATGATGACTTTATGACCCATACAATATTCAGGCACAAATCCTTTGTCTCCAGATAGCTGACAGCTTTGTGGTACAGAATTCCATAGTCTAACCTAGAACCATTTATTTTCTCAGAGGCCAGAGAGACTTGGATTGGCAATGGCCCAACAATCAGGGCAGTTCCGATAATAGAGTAATGGTGACTGATTGCTGGGACGGTCCCTTTTGTAAGACACTCACAATTACAAAAGTGATAGGAAATGACACTGGAGCCTACAAGTGCCTGCACCGAGACAACGATGTGAGCTCAAGCATTTATGTCTATGTTCAAGGTGAGTGGTTATAATGGACTTCCCATATGATTTCCCAGCCTCAGAACAAAAGAGGAACCAAAGAGCGAAGCAGGACAAAAGGCTTCCTCTAAATGCTATCTGCAGACCAGAAGCTACAGAATTCCTCTCATGCCAAGTTGTTTAGAGACTGCAGGTCTCATTCATTTGTTTTGGAGTCTGGTCTGTCGTGCTCTTTTCCTTAGCTACATTGGTTCTTCTCTCTTATTCAAAGGCAGTGGGGATTCCATCTTTATGATGCTCCATGATGACATTCCCACCTTCCCCAAGAGCATTCATGGCTGTGTATCCCAATGGAAATCTTATGCATAGGAAGATTTTGGGATGAAGTTAAGGGAGAAAGTATAACTGTTGGAGTATGAGAACTCTGAAATGGGAGCATTCTCTGTGTGTGTGTGTGTCTGTGTGTGTTTCACTTGTATTTTATGAAAAAAATTTTAATGATCTTATTTTTGCTTGTACAATAAATGGTCCTTTGGCTTAAAGGTATATTCAATGGTACCACGCCATATGGACTTTAGTATTTGTAATATCAGAGATAATGAATGAATTGACAGATCTCGCTTTCTAGGATTTATAACTTGAAATGGTATTATAGGTTTACAGCTGAATGGAACCTCAGGTGTTATCTAATTCAACTTCTTCATTTTATATATGAGGCTCAGAGAGGTGGGTCTTATGTAAGGTTATATACCAGTAATAAATAGAAGGGATGGCATTTGAACCCAGGCCTTTAAATCCAAATCCAATGCTTTTTCCAATGTACCATGCCTCCATGAACTATCCGGGTCAAGGATTTCTGTTATTGAGACCTGGGGTGGTCCTGATATCCCTGTTGCGGGCGTGCACACACACACACACACATAGCATCTAAGTGTTTTGTAATCCCCTGCTGGTTTTAGTTATGCCACAAAGACCTCATCAGTGAACTGATTTAAATTAAATTTGAGGCACAGTGACGAGTGTTTTGCTTGGGTATACTGAGATTTCAGTGTTCCCTGAAGATGACTGGGTAAGATTTCCCCTTTCAAAGAAGCATTTCATTTGCAGAGAAAGACTCCAATCAGCTCTTCAAATCTTAAATGCATGTTCCATTTGCATTTCAATTGTACAACATTCTCCTTTCTTTGAAGTAATGGGAACTACATCAAAATAACATATACCACCATTGGATTGCACAAGACTCAAGAATGTTCATTACATTTGCCAGGTGCAGACATAAGTCATGTATAGAATGCTTCTGCTAAGACCTCTAAGGCTCCCTGTACCATAGCCCCCTCTCCCTGCATATCTCCCCAGCCCTCCTTTCTTTTTCTCCTCAGTTAAAAGACCATTCTCCAATTCACTGTATTAGGTAAACTTCAGGAGGGGGATGCCTCAGTTCTTTGTGAATCTCTGGCTTCTTTTGATCTGGCAGGCTGAAGAGATCAGCCTATCTCTGGAGACTACAAGGATTTCCTGCTCTCAGCCTGGCTGGAAATGTTACAAGGAGAACCTCTCCTATAATATTTTGATATTTCCTTCTCTTAAGTCAGGAAGTACAGAGACATGTGACAATTTATTTCACAAAGTAACAGTAAATATTTTGTTTGGGGAGGATGGGTGGTTGTTTGGGTCCTTTTTGTTTATTTCCTTTTGGGGGAGACAATGAAATAGAAGCCACTTGCCAGAGAATCTTTTAATGGCATCCAAGAGTTAATTCAGCTTCCAAGGGCACGTCCTTTAAGGGTAAGGAAGTCACGCCATATTTTCATAGCATGCAGATGGAAGGTAGGATGTCATACCAAGAATGTCAGTGCACTGTGTATTTGGAACTTTCCATGTCTTTTGTGGATTACTTCAAATGTCATGTCCTGTCCAAGGTTACGAATGAGCCACAATGTTCTAGAAGTTGAGCTGTCCAAACCTGGGGTCATGAGGATTTACAATGGAAAAAGGGTTGTCAGGATGTTCCCCCTGGACAGCTCTCCAATCTCTTGTTCTGGGCCTCACTTGTCTCCCCACCTTTGCTTCCTTAGTCTTCTGACCCAATTCCCTTACCCAGTGGGTAGAGTTAGGAAGTGTGACCCTGGCCCTATCAGGTCTTGCTATGACATGTGTCTAGTCAAGAAGTAAAAGTCAGACCTCCTGCTTTTCTGTCCTCTGCAGCTGCAGAGGAAACAGAGCCTCTCCTATTTGAAAGGATGGGGGTAGGGCTGGGGAAGAGATAGTTGTCTTTCCTCTCATCCATGTTTTAACTGTTTCTTCATCAGTCTGGCTTAGAATTCATAATGCATCAGGTTTGGGAGGCAAACCTATTCATCAGCTTGCCACTGAAATCTGCTGGCTGGCTTTGTCTGTCCTCCAGTCTAAGCCATCCCTGTCTAAAAGGATGAGGGTGCTTTTCTACCCATTTTGTACATTTTGTGTAACATTGAACGACCATAAGAATCTTTCTCTTCTTTGCTAAAGTTTTGAAGGATTTTCTTTCCTTTTCTATTGTGCATACTCCAAGTTCTTTGTTCACAGCACTACTCACATGAATGGAAAGTTTTCTGGGTGCCTGTCATCCATGGTATAGAAGCTGCCTTAAGTTTGGATGGAATGCTTCAGCCCTAGTTATTAATTTAACATGAAGTAGACAGCTAGCCTTCATAATCTTAAAATTATGCAACTTTAGGACATTCTCCTGTATTACTCCTTAAACTTTAATTTGAGATTTATTTCCTCATATATTTTAGGTTCATTGATTGATATTTGCAAAAGGATTCATTACTGTTGTTTATACATAGTGAGGTGAAGAGAGCTAGCTCAAAAGTTTCCTTTTGGTAGAGTTAAAAACATGGTATAGAAAATCCTGTGGACATTGATTCACTCTTTTATTACAAAGCCATTTAGTGATCAGTTGGAAGGGATGGAAAGGGAAGGAAAAGGAAGGGAAGGAAGGGAAAGAAGGGAAGGGAAGGGAAGGGAAAGGGAGAGAAAAAAAGGAAGGGAAAAGGAGAGGTGAAGATTGCTTCTATGACTGATAGCAGTGTGGTACAGCTCTGGAGTCAGCATCTCTTTTCATGTCATTCAGCCTTGCTGGGCTTCATTTTCCTCATCTGTGAAAGGAAGGAATTGGATTGGATGCCCTCTGATGTCCTTTCCAGCTCTGGGTCAGTGATCCTCTGCTCTTTCAGAGGTTGTGCTCTCCTGTCGCAGAGGTTGAGATGCTTGTTTTGACAAACACTGTCATCCTGATTCTTTATCCCTCCCTTCACCTCCAAACCTCCTTCTGCCCCTCTAAATGATACTTTCCAGTAACCTTTGGGAACAAGCCTCTACGTTGAAATCAAAACTGAGGATTGAGCAACATGGGGATGCATTTGGATAATATGAACTCTCCTAGACAACATAGCTGGTTTTTAAGACCTGAATGGCGGATGTAGTTATCCTGTATGTTAGTAATCAGAGGAAGGCGTGGTAATTAACCAATGTCCTAGGTAACCCCTTTAATTCAGATAATCAATCAACACATTTATTAAGTTCTTCCACTGGGTGCTAGGCATATGAACATATAAAGGAAATTATTCTTGCTCTTAAGGAGCTCATTCTAAGGGGTAAGGAACTATATGTTCCTTTATCAGTATATAGAGAATAAATACAAAATAAATACAGGGTAATTTTGTGAGGGAGGGGATCAGCAATTCTGGTTTCAAATTTTAGGCAAGATTTTCAAAGTGAAAGTTTGTTGTCAAGTTTTTTTCTGTCTTCACTGTGCAATTCAGATCAAGTTGGGGGGGGGTGGATGGGGAGAGAACAGGCAAGGCTTCATGTAGAGGGTGGAAATCAGATGAAATTCAATACCTTCATTGCCAGAATTCATGGAAGGAGGGATAGCCTTACTCTGGTGCCACAGACACTCTTGAAAATGTAAACCCAGATAGGCATGATGCTGATTTCAGCAACTTCCAAATAAGAAGAGGAATATTTGTCAGCTGGGGAAAAAAAAACTGTTAAGAAGTGATAAGAGGGATGGCAATGAAAGTGGAGTGTTTTATTTCATAGTATCATGCCAAACTAATTCTATCATGATGTACTCCAAGTGACACTCACTAACTCACTAATGGAATGAAATATTCCTTTAGATTACAGATCTCCATTTATTTCATCAGTAAGTGACCAACATGGTGTTGTATACATCACAGAAAACAAAAACAAAACCGTTGTAATCCCATGCCTCAGTTCCATCTCAAACCTCAATGTGTCACTTTACGCGGTAAGTCCAATTTCCTTCTTTTGTCTGTGGTGCTTTGTATGGTTTGTTAAGACTCTCACTGTTTATAAAAGGCAGAGATATTCCACATAGAGTGTTTCAAGCTCACGAGGGACATGTCTAGTAAGAGATTTAAAAGCCAGTTTTGGAAGGATTAGGATAGACAATTTGTGGTTTTAAAAATAGGAAACAAAATAAGAGGGACTTAAGTAAAATGCATTCAGGCTAAATTTGTACAGTTTTCTCTTTGAGATGCCATTGACCATTAATGTTTCCCCAGAAGTATCCAGAAAAGAGGTTTGTTCCTGATGGTGAAAAAATTTTCTGGGATAGCAAGAAAGGCTTCACTCTTCCCAGCTACATGATAAGTTATGCAGGCATGGTCTTCTGTGAGGCAAAAATCAATGATGAAAGCTACCAGTCTCTTATGTACATCGTTGTGGTCGTTGGTAAGATGACAATTATTTTTCTTATTATTCTCACCTAATAATGATCACCAGATCATATTCAGAACTGGAGGAATCCTTATAGGTCACCTAATTCCATCCTCTCATTTTACAGATGGGAAAACTAAAACCCAGAGAGGTCAAGTCATTTGGACAAGGTCACACAGCCCAAGAGCCTGTAATGCAGGGGGATAGTGGGTCTTATAGCATTAGTTTTCCATAGGCAAGTCTATGAGCCCGATTCTGTCTCTCAGGTTCCTGGGAGGACTTAGAACCTGGAGAAATCCTTCAGGGACAAAGCATCCCAAGAAATTTATAAAGCAAGTGTGTTACTGCATCATTGGGAAAAACCATATACCCAAGTTTCAGATTTTTTTTTCTCTTACTTTCTGTTTTTCCAATTTACTTCCTACAGGGTACAGGATTTATGAGTTGGCTCTGAATCCCCCTCACAGCATGGAATTGGCTGTTGGAGAAAAGCTTGTTCTGAATTGTACAGCAAGGACAGAACTCAATGTGGGGATTCACTTTCATTGGGAATATCCTTCTTTTAAGGTAATGCACACAAAGCAAACCAGACCTCCACATACCTTGATAAGAATCCTTGGGAGGGACTCACCCTGGTGAGATGTGACAGCTTCTGGCCAGATCAGCTCTCAGAATATCTTCAAGTTTTAAAGGGACCACAGAGTATAAAGCACCCAATGTGGGGGAGGAAGAGAGTGAAGGGAAGTGGACAGAAATTGTCTTTTCCCTTCTGTTAAAATGAATATTATTTTTTTTTCTTACTGGAAAAATTATTTTTTCGCCTTTCCATCTTGTATAATATTTTGTTGTCTGTCCAAGTCATGGCTGCCTTTGCTACTCTCAGGAGTTCTGAGGTGGGCAGGGTGACATCGAGTCATATTGGACTCTACCCTTCTTGGCTGTGTCTCTCTGGCAGTTCATCTTCATCTTGCACTCATGGCTAGAGCTTTTGTCCTATTTCTAATTCACCTGCTGTCGTCTAGTCTTTCTTGCTCCAAACAGAATTGCTGTCTCTGTAATCTTAAGGGTTCACGAGTTACTCTTATCAACATTTAATAGTATTTACCACAGGGCAAGATGCCTTTCAGTAAGACAAAAAATGTTGTCACTCGAATGACTAGATGCTGACCAGGTAAATGTTATTCTGGGGTTGGGTGTTGAATTAAAGCCAGGCATATGCCACAGTCAGCTCAATCAAGAGATAGTTGTTAAATTTTCAGCATTAGCATTTGCAACTTGGAAATCGGTGAATGCTACAAATTGAAGGGTTTGATTTATTGTTTTGTTGATTTCTAGATTTAAGAAAGTGATGGAGAAAATCTTAATAATGTAGATTAAACTTAAAAGTGTGCTGAGTGTACATTATGTTAGGAGGAGGAGCTGGTTGTTTAATATTTACCAGCATGTCCCTGACTAAACCTCTCTTTCTCCAGCCTGAAATACGGGATCTGAAAACTCCATTCGGAAATGAGCTTAAGGAATTTTTGAGCACCTTGACTATAGAGCATGTAACCCGGCGTGATCAGGGCTGGTACATCTGTGAAGCATCCAGTGGGCTGATGACCAAGAAAAACAGCACATATGTCACTGTCCATGGTAAGACATCCATCCCCTTGAACTGATTGAATGTTTTCCAAAAAAAAAGCCTGTGGCTTTTGTTGGCCCTTGCCCCTACTGGCATTATACAAGTCATTATATGCTTTCAAGATGGTTCCAATCCTATTAGTGCTGTCTAAGTCAGTGATCTCACAGAACATCGTGTTACATGCTCTTGACTTGTGTTTATAGATTCTTGCCTTGCTACAATCTTGTGATGACCAGTTCCTGGAAACTAGAATTTAAATAAACTTAGATTGGCTAAAAAGCCTTGGATGTGGGTTACCTGGGATAGTACCATGATGTACACACTCTAGGCCTGCCTTTCCCTTCTGATAGGGCAGCTCAGACTGCCACATACTTGGTTTTTCATGGAATTAAAAAAATGAAACCAAAACAACCCATTCCAACCAACTGACATTTAAATTTCTTGCTGTGTTGTGAATGCTGAGGGTTTTCAATGGTTTCCACAATTACTTTCTTGCAGAAAAACCTTTTGTTGCCTTTCATAGTGGAATGGAATCTTTGGTGGAAGCCAAGTTGGGTGAACGGGTCAGAATCCCTGTGAAGTATGTGGGCTATCCACCACCCGAAATAAAGTGGTAAATATTAGAAATCAACACCAAGTATTATTTTCTATAAAGGCAACCTGTTATCACATACTAAGGATGCTGGGGTTTGTTTGGTTTATTTTTGCCCTTGCAGGTACAAAAACGGAAAAGCCATCGAAAGCAATCATACAGTTAAAGTTGGCCATGCTCTGACAATTACAGAAGCAAGTGAGAAAGATGCAGGAAATTATACTGTTCTCCTCACCAACCCCATCACAAAGGCGAGACAGAGCCATGTGGTCTCTCTGGTGGTGAATGGTGAGCCCGAGAGCTTTGATTTCACTCTTCTTACTTGAGAGTTACTGTAAAGAACATCTACATCTCCCTTGGAGTCAGATGCCTTATTCCCTCTGCCATCCTTTCCATAGGTTGTTTCTCAGTAGGCACTAGATAATGCTTATTGACTGACTTCTCTCAAGCACCAATCTACATCTAGGAAAGATCAAGTGCGTTGAATCGAAGGCTGATCTAGGATAGTGTGGAGTGAGTGTAATGAGAGGGAAATGTATATTGATTATATTCAAATCAGTTTCTAGGTCAGAATAAATGAATGATCATTTGTGACTGTAATACTCTGCAAATACTCAGAATAGCATTTGGCAACATGGTGAGAAGGAGCTTGGGAGCAATTTAGCCTTAGATCATAAGATTTATACATGGCTTACGGATGTGTGATGGTGGGGCTAGGGGGAGGGGTCAGATTCTTCTTTTGGATTTATTGAAAACCTTTTGCTGATCTTATCAGCCATCCTAGCAATGATTCTGCGTTACAGAAGGTTTCACAAGTTGGCATAACCGCATGAAGTTCAGTGTAAACCATTCATTTGTCAGGAGTCGTTTTGAGTTTATAGAAGAGAGACAAGCTTGAATTTTATTTGAGGATGTGGCATGTTTTGTTTCTATTCCCCTGGCATTATAAATCTGAATGGTAGTTCCTTCTCTCAACATCTTAATCCACTCTACCCATCCTTTCTGTTGCCCCCAGTCTGTCTGTTATCTTGTGGTTCTGCTGGAGAAACCAATTTCTGGGAGTTTTCTCAGCTAATATATCCCCCTCTAGCCTTAGGGTCCTTAGGTTACATCAATAGGTCAAATGACAATGTCATAAGTATGAAGAATATAGATAGAGGCAGGGCAGATGGGAAGGCCTGCAGGACCTTAGGCATCCATGGCAGGGCAGATAGGAAGGCATCCTCACCAGGATGATGGGAAGATGGACAGTGAATAAAGTTAAACTATCAATAGCATGCAGGAAATAACTAAATGTATGCCCAGATTATGAACTTGTCAAAATGGGGCAATTTAAAAAGAGTCTGAAGTCCTGGATTGGTAGTAATAGGCAAAGTGTTTCTCACTAGGACCTCTGTCTGAACAAAGGCTTCAGGCATGGGGAAGTAGATAAGGAGGAGGGTGGTACATTATGTTGATGGGATGCTTTCTATTTTCCAGTTTTTCACATCCCTTATCTCATTTGATACTTCCCAAAACCTTGTGAAGTAGGTAAGGCAAGGATCCTTATTATGTCCATTTTACAAATAAGCAAATTTTGACACCATGACTTAAGTAGCTTTCCTGAATTTGTACTGCTAATTGCAAGCTCAGAAGAACCAGAACTCAGAAGAATTCTGGTTGCCTACATCCTAGTCCAGGTGTGGAGATAGTTTTATATGTACAGATAAATATATATATAAATACACATGCATGCCTACACATATGTATGTGTATAGCATACATATATATGAATTCAGGCAGATCAATTCATTCATTGATTCTCAGTTTCCTTATTTGTTCAGTGTCCCAAAAGTTTTAGTGCAGCTTTGAGTTTTAATAACCTCAGAAATATAAGGGCTACACATTTACAAAAAAACAACACTTGAATGGCCATTTGTTTAAATTTTAAAATATTGTTGGGTTTCTCATTCAAATTCAAAATAACCCCCATCTTGTACTATAAGTTACTCGAGGTCAGATGTGTCAGATGCAGGCTTCAACACTCCTAAGTGTAGCCCAAACTAGACTAAAATATAATTGGGAAATATTTAACAGAATAAATAAAAATACAGAGACTATAGGTAATATGCGGTTTTCTAAGTCAATATGTGGCCACAGGGATATTTATGTATGGTTTAGTGGTCTCCATTTCTACTTGAGTTCAACTTAAACTAAAAATTAACATAAAAAATTTATTAGTTGAAATTCACAAAACCAAGTAAGTATGTAAGTTTATAACATTTATACTTCTGAAATGATTAAAGCTTAAAATAACACTGACACTTGAGACACATGCACACACACATGGAAAGATGTATGTATGTATGTGAAGGGTATTAAGGACTGTTAAGGGGTCCCCTGAACTTGTCTTTTTGAGTTGTGTTTCTGGAAAATATGGCAACTCGAAAAGACAAGTTTGGGAACCCCTTAACAGTCCTTTACAAAGGTAAAATCAACCACCTTTTCAAAAAAGTGAAGTAATACTTAGCTGCTCAAAACCTCTTTCTTGCTTTCCTAAGGGCTGATGAGCTGCCTATAATGTGAGTTCTCCTCCTCTCTAGTTCCACCCCAAATTGGTGAGAAGTCTCTCATTGCCCCCATGGATTCCTACCACTATGGCTCAATGCAAACCCTGACATGCACCGTGTATGCTGTTCCTCCACCACTTGATATCCATTGGTTTTGGCAGTTAGAAGAAGCATGCACTTATAACCCCGGGTAAGTAAAACCCAACCACTTGATTGTCCTTCGGCTTGGTGGTTTCCTAGGCTAAAATTGTCCCCCTCCCAGCAGCTGACAAGTTTGCACTGAGATCTGTTTTGCTTAGTCACTGAGCCTAGGTTCCCTCCACCTTTCCTAACTTTATTAATTGCCTTTGTTTTCTGTAGTCCACTTTAGGGTCAGCTGGACCTCTGCCTCTCTGGGAAAGTTAAAACATAGCCATCTCTCTTTTCAGGGCATTCTAATTGCATAGTGGCCGGAGACTCTTACCTCTTCACCAAACACAGGATATTTTCTATTTATGCTCAATGTTAATCTCTGTGTTTCTCCATGCACCAATAAGCTGCTGAATATGATGCTTCTTCTTATCTGTGAGAAAGCCCATCTCCAAGAGGAAGTGTGCTGATTGATGTTAGGGAATGATGGAAAGAGCTCCAGCCCTCAGTGCCTGAAGCCTTGCTTATCAGGCTCCAACACAAGGCCAGACATCCTTAGGAAAAAAAAAACACAACCCAACAACCTCTACCACCACCCTAAGTCTTCCACTTCCTGTTGTTGTTTTTGAAATGACTACCACTAGCTTCTTCCTCAGCTGCTTGATCATTTCCTACACAAAGGCCACTGTCCTCAAGAAATTCCTATAAAGAGCCCGGTGGTTTTCAGTCTCCCTGCCTTCCTTTGAACTAAATTAACTTGAATTGTCCAGTCTCTCCAATTTATGAATGAAGGTTTGTTCCCAAAATAGCCGCTTCCCTCCAGTATCCTGAATGGATGAACCAAATTGCTAGAACACTTTCCTCCACTTCTAGAAGTCTGATTTCTATTTGGCACAAAGGTCTTGGAATATGATGAGATCCATTTAAAATGCTTCTAGGAACATGCCAACCAAACCGTGGTTCTTTTTCCTGTCCATTGATCATGGCCCGATCTAAATTTTGTCTCTCACAGGCAAGCTGGCTTAGTGACAAACCCCTACACCTGCAAGGAGTGGAAAAACATGGAAGACCTAAATGGGGGAAATCCCATTGAAATAACAAAGAATCAATTTGTTGTGATTGATGAAAAAAACAAAGTAAGTTGAAAATGCTTGCATTTGAATATCTGTAACTTTACAATATGTTGGGGTTTTTTTTTTAGGCAATTGGGGTTAAGTGACTAGCCCAGGGTCACACAGTTAGTAAGTGTCAAGTATCTGGTCTGAGACCATATTTGAACTCAGGCCCTCCTGACTTCAGGGCCAGTGCTCTATCCACTGTGCCACTTAGCTGCCCTACGATATCTTTTTTCATTGAACTCAATTCACACGCATTTATTGAACACGTGTGCAAGGCATTCTGCTAGACACTGGAAATTCAAAGACAAAAACAAAAACTTGTTGCTGACCTCGAGGATTTTACATTCTACTAGATGAATGTTGCAGTAGTGATGTGTAGGAATTTTGGAGATTAATAATCAGATATGTTGGAAGATTAATTTCCATTTTAAGCATGGTCTTATTTTAAAGCATTTATATTTATATGTTTACATTTCTACAATTTTTTTATATAGTAGGGATAGAGATAGTATGGGATAGTTGATAGTGTACTAGGCTTGTAATCTAGAAAATACATTCAAATACTACCCTTAACATTTAATAACTGTGTGACCATGGGCAAGTCATTTAGTTGCTATGTGTTTTAGTCCACTCTCTAGGACTTACATATTAAGTTATAGACAGGTTGCAATCTCCATTGGAGAACAGAGTTCTAATATTGGGAGTTCCCTACTTGAATGAAATAATAGATCCTTTGAATGTATTTTTATCATGATCTAATCTAGCATAAATTGGGATCCTCTGTAATTCCCAGCATATATATATATATATATATGTGTGTGTGTGTGTATATATATATATGTGTGTGTGTGTGTGTATATATATATATGTATATATATATATTTGGACAGATTGTGTAGCAGTCACAGTACTGAAGAGCATGCTAAAAATGAATTTATAGATGTGCATAAATCTCCCTTTTAGTCTGAATATACACATATTTCAGTCAATTCTGACTCTTCATGACCCCATATGGGGTTTTCTTGGCAAAGATATTAGAGTGGTTTACCATTTTCTTCTCCAGTTCATTTTACAAATGAGAAAACTGAGGCAAACAGTTCCACTGTGACTTGCCCAAAATCACACAGCTAGTAAATGTTTGAGGCCAGATTTGAACTCAGGAAGATTAGTCTTCCTGACTCCAGGCCCAGCAGTCTACCCACTGTGCCACCTATAGCCTTTGGCAAACACAGGATATGAAATTGTTTGGTTCTCCCACAGACTGTAAGCACCATTGTGATTCAAGCAGCAAACGTGTCATCCCTGTACAAATGTGAAGCTGTCAACAAAGTAGGACACAGTGAGAGGATTATCCCCTTCCATGTGACAAGTAAGCATATAGCACGTGTGTGTGTGTGTGTGTGTGTGTGTGTGTGTGTGTTGGAGGGGGAAGAGGGATCTCCATCCATCTGAAAGGAGATGCTAAGTTGTGTTACCCTTTGGATCACTTCTCAATCATAGATGCACCATTGCAGGAAGACTTAGTCATTTTTTCAGAGAAGATGAGGCTTATCTTACTGTCACCTAGAAAGTAAACTATTCAACTCAGTCTATAAATAGCAAATGTAGAATTCATGCATGTTCATTGATGGAGATATTAGGGTTACATCCATCTTATTGTGATGTGATGAACAAATTTTTAGGAATCTGTTTCCGAAAGGTTTGTATTTCATAGCAAAAGTAGAGATTTGGTGACTCTCTGGTTAATCAAAACTGGGTAATTTTGGCCCCACACCACTTAGGGATATGGGAGTTGAATCATCCCATTTGTCTTCCATATTTCAAGGATCTCTGATTTCATCATTGTGACCACTCTGCCCACTGGTGTAGATCACACCTCATAGCGTGGTCTTTGTGAGCTGCTGTGGTTTACACTTTGTGGCCGAATGCTCTGAATTTAACCAGGCTGATCTTCAGATGCCAACACAGAGCTTATCACTGGTCCTTTCCATCTTGTAGAACCTGCTACCACTTGTGCTCCATGGAAGAACCTTTCAGAACCCCAGATCACCTCCATGTCACAACGAGGTAGCAGGGGGGTTGATTCCCTTGCCAAAATAAGCTGAATGATGACATAATCTAATGATGGCTTTTTAATTTCAGGGGGTCTTGAAATTAATTTTCAACCTGGAAATCAGCCCACCGAGCAAGAAAATGTGTCTTTGTGGTGCACTGCAGAAAAATCCACATTTGAGAACCTTACATGGTACAAAATCAGCCCAAGGGCTTCTCAGGACCACCTAGGAGAGCTACCCATGCCTGTCTGCAAGAGCTTGGATGCCCTTCTGAAAATGAATGCCACAATTGTCTCCAACAGCACAAGTGACATTGTGACCCTAGAGCTGCGGAATATATCATTGCAAGACCAGGGGGACTATGTCTGCTTGGCTCAGGACAAGAAGACTAAGAAAAGACATTGTGTGGTCAGACATCTTACTGTGCAAGGTATGGATGCAGCTTTTGGCAGCAACATTCTGCTCGGAATGCTGAGGGCCTAATCACATGCAGTGCTTTGCTAAATGCCTAGATCCTACCATCTGGACCCATTTCTTACCATCTTGAAGCTCCCCAAATTAGATCATTGCACATTTATCTGATGGGGTTTTCAAGGGTCTTGTCTCACTCCATATGTGCCATCTTCCGGCTTGGTGATATTAGCTAATACCAGTGATATATTAAAGATAAGACAGGAAGATCTCTTCCTCCATCCTGGGGTAGGAGGCTCATATAACATTAATAATTGTCAGTGTTGACTTAGACTAGAAGAGGGGAATTGCTTCCTAGGGCATGGGAAGAATGACGCTGCTCTGTTTGTGACCTGCAAGAGCCGTTGGGATTTCCTTGGGAACGTGGCCCAAAGTGGTTTGGAGGGAATGGAATGACCATTCTGGGTATACTAAGGAATTAGTATACTTCCCTTGCAGGGGATTAGAGACCATGTACTAGGGTATCATGGCCTGAGTCAGAACTGGCCACACACAGTATTGTGAAGTAGGTGAAGTTTGCCTTTATAACTTCATCTCCTTCCTCCCTCACCTTTTTTTTTCTTCAGTGTCCCCCTTTACCAAAATACTCATTGTTCTCATGCATCCCTAACCTCTGTTCCTAGCAAACAAGTTCTGTGGAACTCATTCACATTAAGGTGTTAGTGTCTTAAGGTGTTACCCTTGGGTGAGGGAACCATCTTCATTCCCCCTCCCCCAGAGAATTGTCAGAGAGGGATAGCATAACACAAAAGAATGACTCCCTAATGGTAGAATTTCAGGCATTATTGGGAGAGATGTTTGGGGAAAAGAGACTTTCCTATAGGGACCCAGTCAAAACTTAACCAATGCCACCCCTGGTCTGGATAAAAAGGACTACTGAAGGGCTAGAGGTGTGGAGGAGAGTCTTATCTTTTCTGTAGTTATGAATATACAGGGAGGAATTACAACTTCCCAAGATCTCAGACATCTTTTTCTGACTTAATTTCTCTTAGAATTAGACAAAAAAGGCTAATGCAACTGATTATATCCAATATAGTACATGACCAAGGTGACCTCATTTTTCTGAGCTTTGAAGTGATGTCGCCTCCAAAACAAAACTGCCTTATGTTTCATTGTTTTAGGCCAGATACTTCTGCACACTTAGGCAAGACAAGGTTGCAGTAACCAGAGGACCAAAGTGTTTCAATGGGAAAATCCTCTGGTTAAAAAGACTGAGAAGATGTTGTAGTTGTTCAGTTGTGTCTGACTCTTTGCAACCAAATCTATATGTCCATGAGGTTTTCTTGGCAAAGATACTGGAGTGGTTTGCCATTTCCTTCTCCAGTGGATTAAGGTAAAAAGAGGTTAAGTGACATGCCCAGGTAGTAAGCATCTGAGGTTGGATTTGACCTCAGGTCTTCCTGATTCCAGGCCCAGCTCTATCCACTTAGCCACCTAGTTGCCTGGGAAGATTATTATTGAGCAAATTTGTCTTTTGAATTTTGATGTACACTTAAGCAGACCAGCAGGTTCCTATTTTTTCTCACACAGACATTTCCCCAGTACTTGAGTCTTTTCATTAAGTGCAGATGGAAACCCCAAAGGAGGCATGGGTGTGCCTGGCAAGATTTGGAAACTGCCTTCTCATGTGTTGCTCTCCACTGGAGACTCTGAGATTTTACTGTGACATCTACAACTTCATTGATCATAAAATGAGGACCTGTATGCCACAAAGACTGGGCTTTTATGTCATTAAAGCATGTGCATTTATAAGTGGTAATATTAAATTGTTACCCCTTTTGTGTTGTGGCCTAGGCAGCTTCCAATTTACTTAGCCCTAGCTCTGCTGACACGTCTTCCCTGTGTATATGTGCCACCCCCTTGGCAGGTTTCATTTTATAGGGAAAAAAAGTACTGTAGATTTCCAAGAATACTCAAAGGAGAAATTTCCTAAGGACAGGTGTGTAGTTAGAGATGTGCACATGGGTGACATTGGACACGTGTGATGAGGATGTTGTTTGGACTCTACCATCCCATACTGTTTCCAAGACGTTCCTGATAACACAGTTTATTATTAGGCAGGCTTTGTTTAGTGAAAACTCAACATTCAGCTGGACAGTTGTCATATGACGATGGTGATGCAAAGCCTTACACATAGTAGATGTTTAATTAATGCTTTTTGAATTAAGTATTCACAAAGAATCACCAAGTAGCTGAAAGCAAAAAAAAGTATATGACATATATGTATATACATGACTAAAATATATATGCCTGCACAATTTTTTCTATACTAACAGGGCGTGTAGCACCCATGATCACAGGAAACTTGGAGAACCAGACAACAAACATTGGTGAAACCATTGAAGTTTCTTGCTCAGCCTCTGGAATTCCTCCTCCACAGATTACATGGTTTAAAGATAATGAAACACTTGTCGAGGACTCGGGTGAGTTGTTGCTCTACTTTTCTTGTTGAATTTTTCCAGGTGAAGTTATCAAAAACCTTGTCATTTTGTGATTTATTTCTTTTTCCTTATATGATTCATTTAAAGGCAAATGTCAATCCTAGTTTGTATTGGACGGGCCTATTTCATGGACTAGGAGTCACATTCTTTATAATGCTCATCGACACTAGTCAAAATCTGAACCTAAAAAACAGGAATTAAAATTTATATTTTTGTTCTTTGGGGGAAGAGGGTAAAAATCAGGCACCAAACATTGACCTAAATAAGAATTACCATTTCACCCCATCCCACCAGGAATTGTATTAAAAGATGGAAACCAAAACCTAACTATTCGTCGGGTAAGGAAAGAAGATGGAGGTCTCTACACCTGCCATGCCTGTAATGTCCTTGGATGTGCAAAAGCTGAGACTGTTATCATGGTAGAAGGTCAGTGGGAAGTTGCTACTACACTAAAGAGTTTTTCCTTCTGTTCCTTCTAGAATTAGCTACTATCTTATGATGTTCTCTAAGCCTTCCTATTGTTATTGGGGAAACAATGTTAGCTGGACCAACTGAAGATTTCCCTTCCCATTCTGGTATCTCCTTTCATTTGTTGTATTAATGCTAGAAGTATATTTACTTTGGGAGGAGAAAGAAGTTCACCATCTTATAAGGATATCCATAAAGATGATGCTTTATATCCATGCAGCTCAGAGAGAAAAGGCTTTTTATGATTTCCATTGGGTTAAATCTTATTAAAAGTGAATTATAGAGGTGATAGACCAGAGATGCCAAATGAAACCCGTACTTTCAGACACAGCCAAATGTACATTTGTTTTTCTTGACTTTTTGTATCTTACAAGGGAGTGTTTTATTTATTTTGGGTGGGGGGAGTTATGGGAGAAAGTAGGAAAAATAGTGATAGTGACATAAAAAAAGAGAAGAAAAGAAAGAAAAAAGATTTATGAAAGAGCTAAAAAAATACACAGAAAGCAGAAGGAAGTTCAAAAGGGGACACTGACAAAAAGAACCAGTGTTGGCATGACAATGTTATATTGAGTATATGCTTAAAAAAAACTAGCTGTAAGAGAGGTACACAATTTCATATACAATTTTTGGGGGATCTTTGTATATGGAAATATTAATGTTTGTGGATTTTTGTCATGTTCATAATTTTAAATAGTTCTGGCATATGTATCAGATAAGAAGGACAAGTATCTGGGATTTCAGATTAAGAAGCTCACTAATGCATCTCTTCATAATCCACCCAAAGAACAAATAATTATTATTAAATAAATAAATATATTACATAAATATTAATATATCTATGAAGAATTGTTCTGCAATGGCCTGGAGACCAGAGCAGTGATGGATAAGTTGTTAACTGATTTTGTTGGACTTGTCTTAATGTGTGGTTAACAACATGGTTCTGGTTCTGAAGTTTTTGGATGAATAGCAGAACTGCTTCATTAGTGAGAGTTTCCACACTGAAAATTCTCTACCCTGAAGAAACCTCAGTCTTGGACCAAAAAAATCAACCTGAAATGAAAAATGAGGGTATCCATTAGTTTCCCAATGATACTTCACTTTCTCATATAGATAGTAAAATATTTCAGTTAACATAAACCATACTCCAAAGTGTACATTAGCCATGTTGCCATTATCTATTAGCATTTATTTTGCTAACTATTATTTGTTTATCTTTCAGCTACCTCCATTCTGCCCTTTGCCATTTTCATAACTTGTGCCCCAGTTTGTTTTTAGTCTGTACTTAGCTTGATAATAAAAGTAGTAATTGCCTCCTTATCACCTCTTTCCTATTTATTCTTAGATTAAAAGTTTCAACTAGCTCTTAAATTTTCCATCTCCTTAAGGTTTTTCATCTTATAGAGTAGTGGTCTCTAAATTGCCTACGTGGGGCATCCACATCAGTAAAATATTTTTGAGCAAGAACCCTTAATACACATATATTAACTTATTTATAAATTATATATGTATACATATACTACTATACTACTAATTATGTAAGAAAACCTTCCACTGAAAAAATAGAAATTCAAAATTGATGAAATAAAGATGATATATTTTATCCTAAAGTTAATAGGGAGTTACTGGAGTTTATAAAATAGAGGCGTGATGTGGTCAGACCAGAGCTTTAGCAAGGAAAGAAGGAAGGAAGGAAGGGAGGGAGGGAGGAAGGAACGAAAGAAGGAAGGAAGGAAGGAAGGAAGGAAACAAGCATTTTTTTAGCTCCTACTATGTGTGAGGCATAGTGCTAAGCATTTTGCAAATATTATTTAATTTGATCCTCACAATAACCTTGGCAGGTAGGTGCTATTGTTGTCCCCATTTCACAGTTGAGGAAAATGAGACAGATAGAGGTTAAGTTACTTATCCTGGGTCTCACAGCTCAGAAGTGTCTGAAGCCAGATTTGAACTCAGGTTTTCCTGACTCCAGGCCCAGTCCTCTATCCATTGTGCCTCCCAGTAGCCTTTAAGAAAATCCCTTTTGTAGTTTTGTGGAGGATGGATTGGAGTAGGGTGAGATCAGGAGTGAGAGTCTCCACTCTCACTGGGGTAAGGCAGAGAGGTCAATTCTGAGGCTATCGAAGTTGTCTATAGGAGAGGTTACGAGCACCAGGACTAGAGTGGTGTCTGAATAAAAAGAAGACAGATATGAGAAACATTGTAGTGTTAGATGTGGCAATTAATTGGGTGAGATCTGTAGCTTGAATGAAGAATCCAGAATGATTTCTAGGCTTGGAGTCTGGATAATTGGAAGAATGGTGCTGCCCTCGACAGAAATCAGAAAGCTTGGAACAGGGGGTGGGTTTGGGGGAAAAGAATGTATTTACACTGCAAATCACAATCCATTAATGCCTGCTCATTCTGTGTGATTCACTTTCCTCCTAAAAATCAAAAAGGTCACTCTTTCCTCACCTTTAACAACCTCCCACCCTAAGTGATGGAGGGAGGGGAAAAAAGGGGGAGGAGCACGGTGTGAATGTGAACAGGTTGGAGAAGGGATTTTTTCTACATAAGTATCTGGGTGCTGGTCAGGGTATAATTGTCCTAACTGGCCAATGTCTAGAAGAGAAAGAAAGAGGCCAAGATCCGGGGAAGACAGCAGTGAGAAGAGTAGAGTAGTGATGGTGGCAGTGATAATGGGTGAAGTGGGTAGGATGGTTGTGTTGGAAAAAAGACCAATGATTAATTATCATAGGTTGGTTACAATATGATCCACATCTTCTGACCCTCCAGTTGGCTGATCATTCACCCCTTGGGGTCATGGTGTGCCCCCTCCCACTTTGAAGACCACCCTCCAACAGCACCCAGATTCTACGTGCCACCCTCTCTTATCTACTCCTCTGTTTTCTTTCTGGAAGCTTCAGTATAAGGAAATACTTCCTAAGAATTAGAGCTATTCCAAAATGGAATGGGTGACCTCAGGAGGTGATGGAGTTTTCTCCTCAGGCAAAGTCTAAGACCACTTTTTGGAGATATGCTTGGTATAGGTTAGACTAGATGTCCTCTGGGGTCTCTTCCATCTTTGAAATTGTGTGAGTTCTGAATACCTACTTCTTAGGGATGGTTAATGGGTTCCCAGTTGTTTCTGATTTATTCATTCAGGTTCCTACTCTCCTCATCAGTGTCTCCTTTCATTTACTCCAGGCCCTGGTTTCCTAAAGGAGTTGATCTTTTCTGAAAATTTTACACATCACAAAAAAATCAAAACATAGATTAACAAAGTAAAACTGACTTATTCACAAAATGATAAGACTTTTTGTTTCTATTACCTATTATTTTTCCTTTACCCTTTAATTCAGTGTCGGGCTTTTCAATGTTTTCTATATTTAAATCTTTTGTAGTATTTTACATTTATCTCTAATCGCTGTATGGCTTCATTTTTTGATTCCTTATTACTGACAGTTTCCTTGAATAATCAATGTCTTTTGCCATCTTTTCCATTTACATTTGTGGGCTTTGTTAAAGTTAGCCAATCTTGTAAACTATCTCCCAGGGATGACTTGTTTTCTCTCATTGAACTTTTAAAATTTAAGCACTTCAGGTAACTCAGTTAGATATGTGTAGTAGCTCATATCGATGGCTTTCCATCCCTTTCTGACATATGCAATTGTTTTTTCCCAGGTGCTCAGGAAAAGACAAACCTGGAGCTCATTATTTTGGTTGGCACAGCCGTGATTGCCATGTTCTTTTGGCTGCTTCTTGTCATCATCCTCCGGACCATTAAGCGGGTAACAAAACCATTTTCCTACTGTCCCATAAGCATTGGTTTTCCCTGACAAATGGAAACTGACTGGGGTTCTTTGTGTTGTTTCTTCCCATTGTTGTTGAATCAACAGGGACATTTTTCTTTCAATGCTATGTCATTCTTGCCTAGTTTTCTAAGGACCTAGCCACTGGGTTTTAATTGATAGAGGCCAATAGAGGGGAAATGTGCTTGAACTGTCTTCAGTTATTAAGACTCAAACACTTAATTATGAACCCTGTGGGAGCAGGAGGGCACTCTGGCACTATGGTGCTAGGAGTGCATTGTGATGGCTTTCAATCTCAGTGAATTTTTACTGGGAAATGAAGCATCGGGAATGTGGCCACACACAACTCCTACCAACACCCTCCCCCTCAACCCAATGCACACAACAAAATGTGGTGTATGTGACAGGAAAGGGTTGTGTTTTCCAGGCCAATGGAGGGGAACTAAAGACTGGATACTTGTCCATCATCATGGATCCTGATGAGCTGCCCTTGGATGAGCACTGTGAGCGCCTTCCCTACGATGCTAGCAAGTGGGAATTCCCCAGAGACAGGCTGAAGCTAGGTGAGTTTCCATATAACCCTAATTGGAGATCAGATTTACCAGGTCACATTCTCTTCCAAAGATGCTGGATAGATACATCTACATAGTGTCAAGGGAAGTCTGTTCAAAAGACAGAGAATATACAAATCTGGGTTAGGGATATTTGTCCCTTTGGGATTAATAGTTAGTCAAGAAGCATATACTAAGTGTTTACTATGGTCCAGTCATTACATTAAGTGCTGGGTATACAAAGAAAGGCAAAAGCATGGTCCCTGCCCTCAAGGAACTCACAGTCTAATGGAGGAGACAACATGTAAATAACCAGGTACATACAAGATAAGTATAGAGTAGATGGGAGGTAAGACAGAGGAAAGACAGAAAGATTTGGGGGACAGGGTTTGTGGGGGGTGAGGAAAGGATTCATTAAGAAGGTAGGATTTAAGCTAAGTCTTGAAAGAATGCAGGGAAGCTATGAGACAGAGGTGAAGCTATAGAGTCTTCCAGATATGAGAGGCAGCCATCAGTAGATGGATTGTCATTAGTTTGAGGAATAAGGTCAGTGAAGATGGATCTTAGGGTGCATAGAAGGGAGTAAGTTGTAAACGCAGGAAAAGACCAAGTTTTGAAGGGCTTTAATGCCAACCATAGGATTTTATAATTGATTCAGGAGGTAATAGAGAGCCATTGTAGTTTATTAAGTAGGAAGGATGACCTAGTCAGATCTGCATTTTAAGAAAATCATGTTGACAGCTAAGTAAAGGATAGACTCAAGCGGGGAGAAACTTGAAACAAGGAGACCAATTAGAATAGTCTGAGTGTACCAAGGTGGTAGCTATGTAAGCGGCCAGAAGTAGATGCAAATGAAAGATGTGAAGGTACAAATGTCAAGAGTTGGCATGAAGTGACCATTTATTTAGTTATGTTGGGAGGACTTTCATTCATTAAACCATGCTATATGAGAGTCAATTTAAAGAACTGAATGTAATTAGGCTGAAGAAGAGAATACTTAGCAAGGACCTGTTAACCACTTTCAATCAATCAATTAATAAGCATTTCCTAAGTGCCTACTATATGCCTGGCACTCTGCTAAACACTGAGGATACAAATACTGAAAATGAAATAATCTCTGCTCCCAAAGTGCTAGCATTCAATTATCTAAAAGGTAATCATGTGGAAGAGGGGTTGGATTTTTTCTGAAGCAGCAGAGATTCAGACTTGAGGTTAACATAAGCTAAAACTTCCTAATGATCAGAATTGTTCAAAGTGGAATGAGTTGCCTTATTAGGTAGTGACTCTTCCATCCGTGGAATTCTTTAAGCAGAAGGCAGACGACCAGATTGTCAGAGCTGTTGTGAAGGGGTTTCTTTCTCAGATATGGGCCAGACGAGATCAGATACTTTCTACCCCTGACTTCCTTAGTCCATCCCTTGAGTAATTTGATCCAAACCTGTATCTTCTTTTGATGCCAGGCAAACCTCTTGGTCGTGGTGCCTTTGGCCAAGTAATGGAGGCTGATGCCTTTGGAATCGACAAGACAGCAACATGTAGAACAGTTGCTGTCAAAATGCTAAAAGGTAAGGACAGAACAATATTATGGTGTTTCCCACCATTTGCTTTATCCATTCTTCAAAGCAGATGACAAAATGGGTGGCTAAGGTTCCTGCAATGAAAGGTGGGTAGCTAGTAGTGCCACTTAAAGAAAATCATCTGGGAGGTTGTTGCCAGCATTCAGGTAAAGAGAGTAGCCATTTTAGACTCTTCTGATACATTACAACTTAACTTTTTTGTTTTATGTTTGTAGAAGGGGCAACGCAAAGTGAACATCGAGCCCTCATGTCTGAGCTAAAGATTCTCATTCATATTGGCCACCATCTCAATGTGGTCAATCTTCTTGGTGCTTGTACCAAGCCGGGAGGTAAGAAACTACAGGTGGTTCTGAGGGTCTAATTTTGAGATGCCCTCCCCCATAAACTGCATGCACAACAGAAGGCACAGATGATGAGAGACAGCTGTGATATAATGAAAAAAACACACCTTATTTGGAGTCAAGAGACTGCGTTCAAATCCCAAATTCACTAACAACCTTGGACAAGTCACTTAAACTCTGTGAGCCTCAGTTTCCCTATCTAGGCTGCAAACAACTTAGGTGAAGTGTTTGGTAAGCCACCGAATGCCATACATAAATCTAGGCTATCATTCATGTTTATCACCAAAGAGGTGGCCAGTAGGTGATGAACTGTTTGTTGTTTGGAGCATCTATACCAATGAAATAATAAATTCTCAAAATGTTATTGTTGTTGCTGTTGAAAAGACTAGTGGTGTACAGGTTTTTAGTGGCCTTGAGTTTTTTGAGCCTCTTCCAAGGGAGAGGCTAAATGAGATGTAAAAAATTCTCATAGAATTTTGTAATTCTCTTTTGAACTTATTTTATTCTACTATATGTTATAGATATTTGTGTACACATTTAATTTTTTTCTACCTGATTATAAACTCATTAAGAACGTGGACTATAACTTCTAATTGTCTACTAAAAAAGTTCAACTTAGGCAATCATGGCACCCCACAATCTAATACTTGCCCTAGAAAAACTTTCAGTCGAAGGCTCTGTGCCTCTCTCAGAACACTGTTTTAGGAAAAGCTACACACACACACACACACACACACACACACACACACACACACACACACACACACACACTCCCAAATGCATCACATACTTTCCCCTACCATCCTCCCAGTTTTGAAACCAAACTCTGCCATTTTGCTTCTATGGACCCACTCACCGTCCCAATAACTTTCAGATCAAAGTGCCCGCCCTGGCTACCACTCTCCTTTGTGTATGGTGTCTTGTCCATTGAAATGTAAGCTCCTTGAGGGCAGGGACTGTCCCTGCTTCTGATTCTTGTATCCCTAGGGGTTAGCATGGTTCCTGGCACATAGTAAGCACTTAACAAATGCCTTTTCACTCATTCATCTCTATCCCTATCTCCCCTCCCTGCTCTTCACTATCCATATTCTTCCCTTTCCCAGTGCTCCATGCCTTAGTTCATGGTGTTCTTTATGTCTACAACATCCTTGCTCCTCTTCTTTACGTTTTGAATAACTGCCCATTTTTAAAATCCCAGTTCAAGTGCTACCCCCTCTAATCCTGCTCTGATGACCATGGCCAGCAATGAATGACCTTTTAGGACATCCCATGGCACTTTGCTCACACTTCTCTTATACACTTACCATTTATTAGTGTCAACAATAGTTTTCTTTGTATCTTAGCCTATTTTGGACTAAGTCTCATAGGACAGGGATTGTGTCTTATCTAAACCTTCCCGTCTCCCTCAGGCTCAGCACAAAGGAAGTGCTTAGTCAATGTTTATTCGCCTTCTGTCCCCCTCAAAACTATGGGCCTTGCTTGTTAGAGTTGGTGCTTGATAGAGACTTCAGAAAGGAAAGGGAAAAGGGAAAGGTAAAGGAGGAAGAAAGGGAAGGGGGAAGAAAGATGGCAAAAAAAGATTTTTCCTTTTTTAATATATTTTGCCTTCTGCAGGGCCACTCATGGTAATTGTAGAATACTGCAAATTTGGAAACCTGTCGACTTACCTAAGGAGCAAGAGGGATGAATTTGTTGCCTACAAGGTATGGCAGACTCTCGGTGGAATTAACTGGCAATACCTTGAAATAGAGAACTACAGCTGAGTGATGAGCGTTACTTTTCCAGTTGAAATTCCATGAGAAAATTATCAGGAACAGAAAATTCCTGTAGTTGGGCTAGAAACTCCTCCTATTATTTCTTGGATGCTTTAGACTTTCCTTTTCACCTTCAGGGAAAATAATTCTCAGGCTTTATTTGGGTGACATCAATTTACTGATCCATTGTAGATGGGAAAGAGGCTTGGGGTAGGAGTGACTAAGGAAAAGGAAGGACAGTTTCAGATTATTCTTCTTCTATCCCAGTCATATTTAGCAACTCAGGGGAGGGCGTCAATTCCTTTCTATGGAGCCTTAGAATGTTGGGAAGTGGGACCAAAAAAAATGGGAGGTGACAAATCATTTCTTCCTTTAATTGAAAAGAGGAAGGAGCCTTTAGGGAATATCAGCCATAAGCTAGGGGGGATGGACTTTCTCAAAGTTTTTACCAAAATTACCATATGCCTACAAATCAGCATCTATCTCTTCTAATGGAAATCACTGCTTTGTGTCTCAGGAATTTTTCTTTTTATGACTGTGAATCATTTTTGGGAAATTCTGTCTTGCATAGTGATTTCAACTTTTCCTTCCCAGACCAAAAGTTCACGGTTCCAACAGGGAAAGGACAACTATGTGGGGGAAATCCCCGTGGACCCTAAACGCCGATTGGACAGCATCACCAGTAGTCAGAGCTCGGCAAGTTCAGGGTTTGTGGAGGAGAAATCTCTCAGTGATGTGGAGGAGGAGGAAGGTAAACTAGTCATCTACTCTATTTTGCTTTTACTTATGTGTCTTTGGGGAAAGACAATGGGAAAGTTATCTCCAGTGGAGAGTCTCTAATTATAAACAGAACACTAGCCCTTTGGTGTACTGCCTCTACTCAGCCTCACTAAAAACCTAGATGTGGAAGTAGGTAAGGTTATAAGATGAGATGAGCTAATATGCTCTAGCATCCCTTTCTCTTAGACAGTGGCAAAAATAACCCTGTGGTTTTAATTCTGAACATGCCAGAATGAAAACCTGTGCTCTGGGAAGCAGACACGTGCTTGGTAGGACCATGACCTCTCTTCCTAAACAAGGAACCAGGTTAGCACTATGACTATTAAGAGAATGAGGTTTCCAGTTAGGGGTTCTGTTCAACCTGGAGCTGCCCAAGTCATAACATGATCTCAGATGACCTAAGTCTATAGGCTATATTTCCAAATTAGTGAATAATTGACATTTATTAAGAGGTAGCATGGGAGAAGTGAATTGAAAGTTGACATTAGGGGTTAAGAAAACTGGAATTTAAGTCCTAGATCTGACATATATTGTCAGTCTTGTAATTTTTCAATGCCCCAGCTAACTCTCCAAGGCTATAAGCTGCGACAAGGTGCCCATTTTCATTGTTGGAAGGAATTTCCACACTAGATATTTCCTACACTGATAAAATTGCAGCTTTCTGGCTTGCATGTGCCAAATTCACTGGGAAAATGCATCCTCTCTTTTTATTTGGCTAGAGACACCTCACCTGTGAGAACTAGAGGGGAGCTCCAGGTTTTCTTCTCTATGAATCTAGAATCCTGGGAGCATGCTGGTACTTCTTGGGGGCACAGAGGAAGGGGTTTGCATGAAAAGGAAGTGGTGTGGAAAATGGTGACTATAAAAAAAAAAGAAAAATGGTGACTAATGACTTAGATCTGACTCCTTTCCCTCTAGGAAGCAAAGTGCCAACATACCAGGCTACGTCTCACCCCAGAGGGGAAGAAGGAAGAATTAGGGGCAGTGCCCAGACTTATATTGAATGTAAAGTGCTTTACAAATCCCCAAAGTACCACATAAATATTAGATGTTGTTATTGTTATTATTTGCCCACACTCTCTAGCATTTCCTGGCATCTATTTCTTTATCAGACTCCCTTTTTTCACAGTTCAATATCTCCAATAAGACCAATGAAGGGGAAACAAATAATAGGGGACACAATGTGGTAGGGAAAAGAATACTTTTCCAGGAGTCAGGAGAGTTGGGTTTGAAATCTTAAACTGGCTGAGAAATTTATCTGTGGCCATAGAAAAGTCATTTTCACTTTTTGGGCTTCAGTTTCTTCATCTGCAAAATGAAGAGGTTGGGTTAGATGATTTCTGTGGTCCCTGCCAGTTCCAAAATTCTGTAATTCTGTAGAATTCTAAGTCTAACAAACCTCTAGAAACATGCATTTTCATGAAGCACCTTTGAAATATCTATGGGTAAGGGATATCATGCCCATTCATGTCAATCAAACAACAGACATTTATTAAATCCTTACTATGTGTCAGCCACTGTGTCATGCACTGGGGATACAAAGAGGCAAAAGTGAAAGAGTTCCTGCCCTCAGGAAGCTTACCTTCCATAGGAGGGAAAAGAGTACCATTTATACAAACTTGATACAAGGTGGTTTTGGTGAGGACTGAACTAGCAACTAGGGTATAAAGAAGTTAGGATGCTAAGAGGTTGAGGAGAGAGTACATTCTAGGCATGGGAAATGGCCAGTCTAAAGGCATGGAGATGGGAAATGGAGTGCTCTGTATGAGGAACACTAAGAAACCCAGTTTGAAGGACCACAGGAAGTGTGAAGGAGAGTAGTGTGTAATAAGGATGGAAAGGTAAGTTAGGATCAAGTTGGGAAGGGCTTTAAGAACCAAATAGAGGAGTTTATATTTGATCCTAGAGGCAGCTGCCACAGTTTATTCAACAGGGGAATGACGTGGTCAGGCCTGAGATTTGGGTAAATCACTCTAGCAGCTATGTAGAGGGTAGATTAGGGCAAGAATCAGGAAGGAGGCTATTGCAATAGTTCAGAATGGTGAGGATGCTAAGAGTGGCTTTGCAGGTAGAGAAAAAGGGGACTGAGGGGAGAAACATTGTGGAGACAGAAATGGCAAGACTTGGAAACTGATAAATAAGTAGTGCAAATAAGAATAAGGAGTCAGGGATGTCACCAAGCTTGTGAGCCTGGAGACTGGAAAGATGGAGATACCCTCAACAATATTAGAAAAGTTCAGAAGAGGGATAGGTTGGGGGTGGGGGAGAGACAATTAGTTCTGTTTTGAACATGTTGACTTTGAGGTAGCTATGGGATATCCAGTTGCAAATGTCTAGGAATTGATGATGTGGGACTGGAGTCAGGAAAGAGAATAAAGATTTCAGAGTCATCTGTGTAGAGATGGTAATTAATCCCATGGGAGCTGATGAGGGTACCAAGTAAGGTATTATAGATAGAAGAGAAAGGGTTCCAGAACAAATATTTGGCGAACAACCACAGTTTCAGGGTGCAGTCAGGACAGTGATCCACTAAAGGATGCTGAGAAGGAATGGTTGTACAAATAGGAGAACCAAGAGAAAACAGTGTCCCAAAAGCCTAGAGAAAAAAACAAAATCCAGGAAGAAAGGGTGATCAACAGTGTCATATTCTGGGTCAAAAAGGATACAGACTGAGAAAACACCGTCATATTTGGAAATTAAGAAATCGTTGGGAACTTGGGAGAGTTCTGTCAACAATTGGGCTTTCTATGCATTCTCTTCTCTCCTTGGATATCTCTGAAACACTACAGCTTTTAGTAAAGGGATTCAAGTATTCTAAGGAAAGACTAATTCTGTTACCAGAAAAGGCGTCATGCATGGGCCCCTGCCATCCTCATCTCTTAGAATTTAGGAGAAGCACTTGAGAGTGGTGCATTTTGGTTTTTACTTTTCATTTGTACCCATTTGCAATGAATAATAATGGCATTATCTGAACTCATCCCATGTTTGAATCTTAGGGCTGCTGAATTGTCCTTCTGAAGAAGGAGGCCCACACTTAGGCCTAACCTGAAAGGCTTTAGTTTTTTGGTCTAAAAGTAAGAAAGAGAAAGTAAATACAATTGGACTAGTTTTCCTTTCGTCCTTAGGATATTATCTCTTATTCTTTTAGCCTTTGTCCTGCAGAGGCTTAGAGAAAAGAAATTTAATAAACTTGGATATTATTGTTTTATTTTTAGACTTCTTGATATGATACTATTGTTTATCAGTCTGGGCACAGGAACAACAGGAAAGTATCCAAAGCAATAAACTACCAAAAACAGTTATCCTCAAACTCCCCATTCCTTATTCCAATCTTAGCTCTCGCCTCTCTTCCAGCTCCCAAAATATGAGAACATATTGTAACTTCACATTCCACCCTGAGGACACAAAGAGGATATTGCGATTCATTCTAAGAATTCCCACTGCTTTTAATTCTTTGAGTTTAATTTCCAGGTCATGGAGTTATTATTATTACACTAATAATCTGGGGGGAAAGGAGTATCATTCATTGACCACTGTCACCTTGCCTTTCCAAACAGCTGCTGAAGATCTGTGCAAGAACTCTCTGAGCTTGGAGCATCTTATCTGTTACAGCTTCCAGGTGGCCAAGGGCATGGAGTTTTTGGCATCACGCAAAGTAAGCAATGTCAGTGGAGTACCAGGGCTAATTAGGTCGTGTGCTATAGCCGAAGCAATAGTAATAGTGGTAGTAGGAAGAGTGATGATAGTTGCAAAAGTGATCATAGTGGTCATGGTGGTCATAGTAGTGGTAATAGTAATGATGGTGGTGGTATAGTGATGGAGTGGGAGTAGTATATAAATATATAGGAGAAGTAGTAATAGTGGTAGTAGTGGTAGCAGTGGTAGTAGTAGTAGTAGTAGTAGTAGTAGTAGTAGTAGTAGTAGTAGTAGACATAGTAGAAGTAGTAGAAGTAGTAGTAGCTTTTGCCCAGACCTACAATTAAGGAATTTCCAGTGAGAAAATTACCTCTACCAATGCATATTAGTTGCATATCTGTGATTTACCAGGTCAGGGTTACTTAACCTGGAGCCCAAGGGACCCAAAGGGTTCTGTGGATAGATTGGGGGTAGGGTTCATGAACTCAGATGAGAAAACAAATCACATCTTAATTTTTACTAATCTCATAATGCATTTTAGCTCTTCCTTCAATTATTTAAAAACATTTTTCTTTGAGGGAGTATATAGGGTTTCCCCAATAACCAAAGGGGCCCAAAACCCTGAAAAGGTTAAGGACCCCTGTCTTAGAGAGTCTTCTGGGGGACTAGGAAGTTAAGTGATATACCCAAGATCCCACAGTATGTGTCAGAGGCAGGATTTGCACTCAGACATTTCCAATTCTGAGGTCAGTTCTCTAGCTACTATTTCTATATATTTCCCCACATCACTAAATAGAAAAGGAAGAGGTGCCAAGTATTCTATTTATGGATTGTAATTTATTCTTGAGGCTGAAGAATTCTGAAAGGAAAACTGAGTAAGGAAAGGGACCTGACCTGGGATACTACAATTATGCTAGACATCAAGGACTTGGGGGTGGGGTGGGGGCTATTTTTACTTTATCTATAGTCATCACCCCTTCAAAAAGCATTTATTTGTAGTATAATTAAAAGCTGGGAAGGACAGATTTAAGATGAGAGATTAAAAGAGCTAAAATTAGAAATCCAAGCTAAACAAAGACTGAAGTGGGAACGTGCTGGGCTACAGATATCTGAAAGCGGGACAGCAATTGGTTGAAACCATTCCTCTTGAAAAGACCACAAATAATGATTTAAAATTAAACAAAAGAAAAATCAATTGAATTTCAGGGGAAAAAATTCACAGTCAACAAGGTCTCTCTGACTACACTTGCCTCCCAAGGGAATAAGAAAACTTAAGAGTATTTTTTCTACCTTTTCCGCTCAAGTTCTCATAGCCTAGGGATGAAATCCCTAACCCAATTTATTTTTCCAACTTTAAAGTCCTCCGGAGCCTTCTGATCCCATAGCTTCAGACACTTCCTGTTAGGCAGCCCATGTTTTCTCCTTGCCCTGGAGACGAGACAGGAAACTGGGTGTCTTGTGGGGTCTCTCTGAGAAGGAATAAGCTGTTCCCTGGGTCCCTTTGCCCTGGTGGAGGAATTGAACAGTGATTTTTGTTGTTGTTGTTGTTCTTTTGTTTTGTTTTAAGACTAGAGAGTCAAGTCATCCAGACCTCTCTTGACTATGAAAAGAGAAAAGGGCAACCAACCTCTGTCTTTCTTGGCATCTGTATGCTACCTGAGTGTCAGGATAAATAAGGCAGCTCTTGAGCTAACTGGCAGACTGTGTCTATTGCTTAAAATTCTTTGTTTTGCTCCATCCTTTTAGGAAACACAATGGAAGGCTTTTCCAGTAGCCAAAAAAAAAAGTTCTGTATTAATTCAAAGTGGTGGGATTGTTAGGGTGACAGTCTCTCTGACCTTGTTTTCTATTTACACATCTCTCCTGAGATCCTTTGTTATTTATGGAAGGTTTTTGATGTGTGATAATAATAATGGTAGATCATACTTCAGCACTTTAATAATAATTTAATTGATTAAATAAATGTATTTAATAATAGCACTTTAAGGTTTGCAAAGTTTCTCATATTATCTGACGTGATCTTTATGACAAATAGGGAGGTAGTAGCATTAATTATACTCATTTTACATATTGGAGACCTGAGCCTGAGAGAGCATTAAGTGATTTGCCTAGGCTAATAGCTATTAAGTGTCTCAGGTGAGATTTGGACCCAAATCTTTCTGATTCCACCTCTAGGATCATACCCAATATTCCAATTGCCTCCCACAGTCCTCAATCTTCCTTTGAAAAGGACAACCTTCTCTATTCCTACATTTTCCTCCTGCTATATTGAACAACAACTCTTCTAAGAGATAGCTTTGTATGGAAGGTGGGAGTCACAAAGATACTATATTAACTTTTGGAACCTGGCCAAATCAATTAATCTCTCTCATTCAAATTTCCTCATCTGTAAAATGGGTGAAATAATAGCATCTATCTGACAGTATGGGGGCAGCTAGGTGGTACAGTGGATAGAGTACTGGGCCTAGAGTCATGAAAACTGAGTTCAAAACCATCCTCAGACACTTAATAGCTGTGTGACCCTGGGCAAGTCACTTAACCCTGTTTGCCTCAGTTTCCTCATCTATAAAATGAGCTGGAGAAGAAAATGGCAAACCACTCCAGTATCTTTGCCAAGAAAACCCCAAATGGGGTCACAAAGGGTCAGACATGACTGAAGCCACTAAGCAGCAACAATAAATCTCACAATGTTGTTACTGTAGGGATCAAATGAGATAATTATATGTAAAATGCTTTGCAAACTTTAAAGTTCAATATAAATGTTGGCTATTATTATTTAGAATTCTTGAAGTTCCATATACCATTCCACCAGCAGTAAAAAAAAAAAAAAGAAAGAAAGAAAGAAAGAAAGAAAAGAAAAAAAGAAAAAAAATCTAGAGCTGCCTGAAGCAGAAAATTAAATGGTGATAAACATTGAATAAAGAGTTCAAAATGGAGGATTGCCCTCCTCTCCTCACCAAAAAAAAAAAAAAAGAAAGAAGAAAAGAAGACAATTCGAGGCATAACTAATATGATTTTTTAGTATACTAGTAATTTAACTTTATAACAGGTTGCATTTAGCTTATTAGACTCATGTGGGAGTGCAACACTTCCAGATGAAAGGAGCTACTCTGGAAAACACCCTGAGAGGTCCAATACAGCATCAACTGGTTGGGGGGCTAGAGAAGCTGACTGGATGAGCCAATCAGGCTGTCTGACATCTGACGCCTGTGCACTCATTCAGAAATACATCCCACCCTGGCTGAAACTGTTAGCTATATATGGTGTTTTGTGCCCAGAAAAGCATCTAGCAGAGGGAAGGGGATATGTGGATGTGACCAGAAACACACTCTTCATTGTGGCCAAAATAAATCTATTTACATCTAAACCTGCTCTGTACTATCGTCATCACATAATTTGATTACCTAACCCCAAAGGCTTGGAGTGGTTATTCAATAAGCAGATGTGTGGGTAGACTCAGCTTATAAACGTTTTTTTTAATGTTGATAAAAACTGTTAACACCTCCCTTGGTAACCAGTCTCTTTTCTGATGTGAGACATGAGGTGTGTGGTCCCCTCCTCCTCCAAAAAAGCCCCAGATTTTTTATACTATTTGACCTCAGCCCATGAGGTCCCAGCAGATGTCAAAGTGATCAGCTGTGCAGAGACAAGACCTGATACACATACACGCACATGCTTTCTTCCCATTGCAGTGTATCCACCGGGACTTAGCAGCTCGAAACATCCTCTTGGCAGAGAAGAACGTGGTCAAAATCTGTGACTTTGGCTTAGCCCGGGACATTTACAAAGACCCAGATTATGTCAGGAAAGGAGACGTAAGTTTCAAAGACAATCTACCACTGTTTCGAGGGGGTGTTTTAGGAACAACAGAAATCTTTTTGCTTTTCTTCAATGGTTTCTAATTCTTCTTATGGTCTATAGGCTCGACTGCCTTTGAAATGGATGGCCCCAGAAACCATTTTTGATAGAGTATACACAATTCAGAGTGATGTGTGGTCCTTTGGAATTTTGCTCTGGGAAATATTTTCCTTGGGTAAGTCACTTCTTTTCAACTCATCCAGCCTCTGGATATGAAAGCCAAGAGATAGAAGCCAGTGGGACCAGTGTGCCTTCTTCTCTGTGTCCCTGTTTTTATGCCTCATTGGGCAAGGCTACATTTCATGCTTGAATGTTAATAACTAGAAGGGTGGACATGGATTAATAATAGCAGTAATAATAATAAAAGAATAAGAAGAATAATTTAAATTTATATAGTGATGACAGCATTTTACATGCATTATCGCTTGGTATAATAGAAAGAACATTGGCTTTGAAATCAGAGGATCTGTGTTTGAATCTCTGCCGCTTACTATCTGCATGACCTAGGTCAAGTCATTTGAGGTCTCAACCTCAGTTTGCTCATCTGTAAAATGAGGTGTTGGGCTAGATGGCTTGCAAGATTGCTTCTAAGACCTAAATCCAAGTCATTTTAACCTCTGTTTGCCTCAGTTTCCTCAACTATAAAATGGGGATAATAATAGCACCTTCCTCTCAGAGTTGTTGTGAGGATCAAATTATCTAATATTTGTAGTGCACTTAACACAATACTTGGCACATAGTACATGATTAATAAATGCCTGTTTCCTTCCTTCCTGTGATCCTCTGTAATAAAAATGACATAGACTTCCCTGGAATTTTAAGATTTATAAAACACTAACCTCACAATAACCCTGGGAGAAAGGTAGTGCAAATATTATACCTTCTTTGTAAAAGACAGACAGATACAGACCTTTAACAAGAATTATTTAAGCATTGGGACTTGTATGTAAATCTAAGTCTTCAGCCTCCAAGGCAAATACTCCTTCCATTATAATGCAGCCCTTCAGGGTAGTAGGGTAGGTGGGAGGTGGGAATAGAGAGATCTCATTTACCTTTTCATTCCAGGTGCCTCCCCATATCCTGGGGTAAAAATAGACGAGGAATTTTGCAGGCGATTGAAAGAAGGAACCCGAATGAGGGCCCCTGAGTACACTACCCCTGAAATGTAAGACTTCCTCAAAGACAAGCATTCCAGTGTGCCCCACAACTACAATGCCCATTTCCATCCCTCTTCATCAGTGCATCGGGCTCCCTTGGGAGGTGGTGGGTTCCTCCCCATTGGTGGTCTTAAAGCAGAGCCTGGATGATGAATGGTTGGGTATGTTGTAGTGGGGATTCTTTATGAAGTATGGATTGAAGTAGATGGCCTTTGAGGTCCCTTCCAACTCCAAGATTCCAGTATTCTGTCAGATCCCCCGTCCTCATTCACGTTCAAAGAGTTCTTTCCTTTTTGGACTTTCAATAGTGTGTTTTGTCTGTTCCACTTATTTCAGCTATTATATGCTATTTTTTATGATTCATGCCTCTTTGGGTTCTCCATGGTGCCTAGCCCAATTTCTGTCTTACACTAGCCATTCAGTTAAGACGTTATCACCCTCCCATCCAGACGAAGGAGATCAGAGAACTTGACCTTCATTCTTGTTGTCTTCTAGGTACCAAACCATGCTAGACTGCTGGAGTGGAGATCCCAAGCAGAGACCCACATTTTCAGAACTCGTGGAGCATTTAGGGAATTTGCTACAGGCCAGCGCTCACCAGGTATGTGAAGCCCTCTGTGCCCCAACCTCCCAATAGCACTTTTGTATGAGGAGTTCGGAGAGGGATTGGACTTTCTCTAAATGAGTTTGTATGTGGGTGTGTATACATAGCCTTAACCACATTGTAACCTCTAGAGAAATGTAATTGAAAGTGAGACAGCTTCTCTCACAGTATAGGAGGTAAGCTAGGTACTTTTCAAAGCTGACATTCATCTAAGTCACAAGGGTACCAATTCATGAACTGATACAGAACTAATTCTAGAGAATTATAGTAAGGTACAGTAGGAAGAACACTTATCTAGAGGCAGCTCAAGGGTACCATATTTAAAAAATATTCCTCTTCCTCCTTCTCTTCCTAGCTAATATTTATATAGTGCTTATATGCTCCAGACACTGTGCTAATCTATTCATAAAATAATTTATAATTATTATCTTTATAATTTAATAATTACACACAATATAATTATTATACTTTATTATAATAATTTATAGCATATTTATATTATAATATATAATTTTATATCTCATATAAATTATTATGTTTTATATTACAATGTATCTTACTTTATGATTATTATCTCATTTGATTTTCACAATAAGCCTGGGAGGTAGATGCTATTACCACCCCCATTTTGCAGATGAGGAAACTGAGGCTACAAGAGGTTAAGCAAGTTTTCCATGGTCACACAGCTAACGAGAGTCTGACTGACATAAATTTGAACTTGAGTTTTCCTGACACCTGGACCAGTGCTGTTTCCGCTGAGCCACCTAGCTAGCATTTATATAATAATAATAATAATAATTATTATTATTATTATTATAATAGCTAGCATTTATAGAACACTTTAAAGTTTGCAGAGCACTTCTCCCTTGTTATCTCTTATGATAGCACTGGGAGGTATGTGCTGTTATTATGCATAATTTATCTCTGAGGAACTTGAGCTTCATAGGGGGTAAGTGACTTGTTCAGAGTCACAGAGCTAGTAAGGGCTTTTGGCAGGCTCCAGGTCTGCCATCCATGGCACCACCCAGTTGGCCCAGATCCAATTCTGACTCTGTACTTCATACCTATGTGACCTTGGCAAGTCTCTTCTCTATTCAGAGTCTTGGTTTTCTCATCTTTAAATTAAGAGGGTTGGACTGAATGGTATATCAGGTTCCTTTCAGCCCTAATGCCTGTGAATTCCAAGTCACTTAATCTTTGTTAACTCAGCAGCAGAAAGGAAATAGTAGAATGGGCACTACATGCATCTGGTCAGTTGTGAGAAAAACATGTTGTAAAATGCTATAGAGATGTGAACTTCGATTACGTAAAATGCTCATCCTCTTTCCAAATAAAGCCAGAATCCAGGATGTAAAATTTGACAGAAACACAGACACTTATTTTAAAAAATAGAATTTTATTGCTACTTCGGTTTTTTTCATCGCCTCGGTCTCCTCTGTGCTCCTCCCCGTCCCCTACAAGGAGCTAGCCCTTACGTAAGCATAGACTCTTAAGTGGTGAAAGAAAGCAGAGGAACTGTTCTCCTCCTCCTGTGTCTCTCTCCTCTGACCAGAGCATGCTTAAGCAATGGAAAACCCATAGCTCCTGCATCCCTTCTAAGCCTGAAGATCTCGGTCTTATGATTCCATGACCTCTATGGATCCACCCAAGGACTTTTTTTTGTTCTTTCCCAGAAGTTCTTGAGACTTGAGGGTGGGTTTCCAAGGGTTAGTGGCTCTTATCATCAGAAAATCTTTTCTGTATACAGACCTTGTGTCCTCCTGTTCTGTCTTCTGTTACGCATTGAAGGTAGATGACTCAAAGCCAGCACCTTCTTTATTAATACATTCTTCAAGAATTTATTACCAAATTGTTCTTCATGTTTCTTAACAAAAGAACTCCAATTTTTTTTTTTCTTCTCAAAGGACCTTTCTATCTCCAGGGGTGGGGAAGCTGCAGCCTTGAGGCCACATGTGGCCTCGGTCCTTGGTTGCAGCCTTTTGACTGAGTCCGAGTTTTACAGAACAAATCCTTTTACTAAGAGTATTTGTTCTGTGAAGTTTGGATTCGGTCAAAGAGCCACACTTGAGGACCTCGAGGGCTGCAACTGGCCTTGAGACCTCAGGTTCCCCACCGCTGAATTCTATCCCTTTGATCATCCTTACTACTTTTCTTCGAATAGTCTTTAATTGTTTCAGAGTCTTCTTAAAGCTTGGAATCTAAATCTGGATTCAGTACTCTATTAGGGATGTGATCAGTGTTAAGATTCATCAAATTCACCAACTTTTCTTAACTGCCTACTGTGTGCAGGGCACTGGGTGATCTATGAAGGAATTACTTCCCACCTCTTGGATATGATTCCCCCATGTCCCAAGATTGTGTTACTTTTATAAAATGATAGCACTGCTTTGCTGATTCATATTCTACTTGTGTTCCGTTATGACCCCCAGTTCTTGTTCTACTGCTCTTGTGCTATCCCCATCTGATTTTTTAATTTTGAGTGAGCACCATATTACCATGTAGCTATCCCTACTATATACAATCCTGATTTTGACAAGCCATTTAACTGTATCTTTTAAAGTTTTGCATTCTGCTGTCAGAGCAATATATTCTGAGCCAAGAAATCTACTATGGCTATATTGTGTGTGTGGGGGTTTCCTCTGTAAAAAAAGGATTTTGATGCATAGAATCCATAACAATAACATTCCCCTTTGTCTATATTGTTACAGGATGGTAAAGACTACATTGTCCTTCCTATATCAGAATCGGTGAGCATGGAAGAGGATTCCGGACTCTCTTTGCCGACCTCACCTGTTTCCTGTATGGAGGAAGAGGAAGTGTGTGATCCTAAATTCCATTATGACAACCCAGCAGGAATTAGGTACTGTATCTGGTGAATATCCCACTGGGGCCTACAGGCAATCCCAGGGGGCGTGTGGAAAATGCAAGGAAGACCTTTCAGCTGCTACATTCCATTTCCAAGTTCCCACATTTAACCTTGGCCATGCGGCTAATAATAAAGCAGTAGTACCCCTTTAAGAGGGCCTTTATGAGTTCCTCCCCCAAGCCTCTAATTCCTGTTTCAGCCCAGGTCCTTTGTCCCCTTCCAGGATCCCAGGCCCTACAGCTGCAACAGCTGGAATGTCACTGTTGGCCAATCACTGGGAAAAGGGACTGGACCAGAAAGAAAACTATATTTTCACTATCCCCTCTTACATGTTGATGAATACTGGATTAGGAAACGGCTCATAAGGGATGCATCCATGGGTGCCTATATTGTGAAATCTAATCTAGAGAAAGCACACAATAGAATACTGGGGAGAGGAATACTGAATTGGAAAGGACCTTTCATATCCTCTCACGGGGAAGAATCTTGAGTTGGAAAAGACCTCTTATATTCTCTCAGGTCTTTCCCAAGTCTGATTTTTAGTATTTATATTTTTTAAATTATGTGTTATTTATATTTTTATATATGCATACATCCATGTATACATAGGTACACATTTATATATCTACATATGCCATGTATATGTGTGTATACATACACACATAGACATTTGTTTATTTCTCTATTCATTTATTTATTGACTAGTTCTGTGATTTCTATCAGTTTAGGGAGCCCCTGAGGATCAATTTTTACCAAAGCAGATGGATGCTTTCTCTGAAACTCAGGGTCTTAGAGAATTTCCTGGATCACTGAGACATTCAATGATTTGCCCAAAGACTCCCAGACAGTATGAGGCAGAGGCAGGTCTTTCGGACTCTGAGACTAGCTCTCTACCCATTGTACCACACATCTCTAATGTTTCTTGTATGCAATGGCTCTCTATCTACCTGTTATGTATATGTTACATGGTAGGACTTTTGATCTCTAGAATGATAGAGCTGGAGAAGAGCTTGGGGGTCATCTAATCCAACCCTCTTAATTTTACAGATCAGGAAACTGATATTAATAGACTTGCCCAAGGTCACACATCAGGTACTAAGTGGAAAGACCAGCTTCTCTAAAACCTGTGCAAGTCAGTATTGTCCTGACTGTTCATGGGGTCCTCTGAGCAGCTTTCTGTCTTCCCTGACACTTGCTTAACAGAAAACAGTCCACTGATTTTTCTGAAGAATTGCATTAAAATGTGTCTTTCCAGAAGACCACTTTGCACCATTCGCTTATTCCCTTCTGTTCCCCCAGACCCTTTGTGTGTTCTCTAACTCCAGAGCCAAGGGTAGCCCTGCAAGTAGGACCTTGCTCTCCTCCCCACACACCCTGAATTGCAGACCCTTGAAGAAATCTTAGTCTTTTTTTTATTTAAATCTCTGTGTTATGATGAATTCTCCCTATTGCACAGAAATGGGAAATGTTGGGCCTTGTGAACAGGGGGAAATGTAGTGCAACAGAGCTGTGGTTCAGAGGAAGGAACAGAGACTGAAGCAGGGAGAGGAGAGCCAGCATGCCTCTCTTCACTTCTGTGGCTGGGATTTGGGAAGATGATCACCAAAGAGAAGGCTCACGTAGATGAGGAAAGAGGAAAGAAGTCAGTATTGAAACAACACTAGTATTCCAGACCAAAATGAATTAGTGCTGGGGTTAAGGTTCTGCTGGCCTATTGTTAATAACTGATACTTAGAAAGGTCCTGGAGGCTTATAAAGCAGTCTATTAGCATATTAGCTCATTGGAGCCTCCCAACAACCGTGTGAGGTACTACTACCTCATTTTATAGAAGAGAAAAGTCTAGATTTAGAGAAGTTAGTTTCACAGCTACTAAGTGTCAGAGGCACGATTCATAACTAGATCTCTTACTCCATCACCACATCCTTTCCTCCACCTCTTTGAAAGACCATTATATTATTTCATGGTCATGAGTATGTTTTCCTTCTTTTCTTTAATATGACCAAAAGGAATGAGAATCCAACTTACTGCTTCTTAGCTCAGACTGTTGCTTTGCATATGGTCCTGCAATAGAGAGGAAGTCACATTTGAGAGGAAGCCAAATGTGCCGTTGGTCGGTCGGATGTAAAATGGGGCTGCTAACATTTATACACAGAATCATGGAAAAATGTGACATGACAATCTCCCAGCAGACCCGGCTCTCATTTTCTGCCTGAAGGCTTTCTTGTGTTCTTTCCAGCCCATTCTTCCCGTTATCTAGCGTTGACTTAAAAGTCTAAAGGAAACAGAATCCTTCAAGTGGATCTTCTTTCTATACCCCAGTCCTCAGCTATGTATCTTTTTCTTTCTTTCTTTTTTTAAAGACTCCATAAGCAATTTTTAAATCTTCTGCATGGAAATAATGCAAAACCAAAACCAGCTGCAACTCAGCAGAGTTCATTGGACACAAGGAAGAGTGGTTCTTCTCCCCTGGCTTTGTCTAGATGGGGGCAGGGAGGGGAAGAGAAATGACTCAAGCAACTTTCCTCTTCCAGGCTGATATCCTAACTAGGCAGGAGGATACCCAGAGAGAAAGTAGTCAGTTATCTCCTTCTATGCTAACCTCTTTGCATTTGAAGCTTAAGAGCAAGAGTTGTGTCTTGCTTATCTTTTGAATGAGTGATAATTTTGAATTTTATTTCTTAAATTATTTTGAATAAACAATCACTTTCCAGTGAGCAGTGCTTTACATATAACGAATGCTCAGCAAATACTCAGGATTATAAGAGTTAGAGGCAGGAAAGCCCTTAGACATCAGCTCCTCTGATCCATATTGCCCAAAGACAAGGAGTGACTTGCATCATACAGCTAGAAAATGACAAAGGATTTAACTCTCGGTTCTTGGACCCAAAATCCAGAGATCTTTCAACAACATCTTGGTATTTGTTATTGACTGTGTTCCATATCTTTTCTCCATTTTTCATTCTCTGAACCCTTTCAAAAGCTCAAAAACAAGAGAGCTGTTAATGTCTAAGATCACCAACTCTAGGGTTTGGAGTGGGAGGAGAGAAGAAGTTACTGGGAGAAAATGGCCAACTTTTCTCCCTCTGTGTTATATATCTCTTTGCTCAGTGCAGAGATATCCTTGAGTTTCCTTGATTATGGATAGGGAACTTTTTTTTTGCCAGACCCTCCTGCAGCTGGGAGGGTCTTTCCCAGGGGATAAAAATCCCATTCTCTCCATAGAGCAGGAGAGTGAGTCAGGGAGGGCTCTCCTCTCATTTGCATTCTGGGAAACTATGGCTCCCTTCCCAGCTTGAAGGGAACAAACAAACTTTGTGTTTATGAAGCATCTTTCTTCCGAAGAACTCAAACTCTTCATGCCTAAAATCCCTTTTGCTCTTATCTTCTCGCTTAGGAGTTCTTTCCTTTCCATCCTCCAGTGTCTTCTCCTGTAAGGTTACCTTTCATCTAATTTGTATTTATCTTGTATTCTTTTTTACCTGCTTATATAGTTTACATTAGAATGTAAGCTCCTTGAGGCCAGGGACTGCTGCTTTTTCTATGTATCTCTAGCAGTTAACACAGAACTGGGCATATAGAAAGTGTCCAATTCATTGCTTATTCATCTTTAAAGTGTCTCTGTGGGATAGGAAGGTCAGCTTAGTTTAAAAATGGAGAAACTGAAGCAAGAAGGGTATGTGTGTGTGTGTGTGTGTGTGTGTGTGTGTGTGTGTGTGTGTGTGGGATTATTCATATAGTAGAGCAAGAGTCAGGCCACTAAGCTTTAATGAACCCACTGTGAATGGAGACAAGGGACCTTCGGGTTTCTTGCTGCATTTCCTAGCCCTTCAGTATGACTTACAGGTGTTTCCTCTGCCCCAATGTATCACTGAACTGTTATACTTTATTTGGAAAAAGATTCACTAGGAGATGGCTAGAGACAAGAACAACAGTTCCAGAATGGAGTCCCATAAAGGCAGGAAGCAGAACTGAGGGGGCTCCTTACTTAGCTTGCTGCTGTTTTCTTTAGTCCAGCTCTCAACCTCAGAAATACGACCCAAAGAAACAGACTCATCCAGACCACTTGGTTTGTATTATACTTTTAAATGTACTTTGCAGGAAATTAAATTTCTAGCATTTGGTAGGAAAGGATGTTTCTCTGTTGTTGTTGTTTTTCTTCTTTTTTACAAGGGATGTTTTGAAGATCATTATTAGCCTTGTAGTTAAAAGATAATGAACTTAAATATTACTTATGGCCTCGAGAGTCAAGGAAACCATCCCTAAAATATAAATATTTGTTCTTCTACAGTCAGTATCTGCAAAGCAGCAAGAGGAAAAGCCGATCAGTAAGTGTAAAAACATTTGAAGACATCCCTTTGGAACCAGAAATAAAAGTAATCCCAGATGTAAGTATAGCTTTTAGAAACAGCTTTAATCAATAATACATGAGATGAAATATCAGGTAGATAAATATTGATTTAAGTATTCATACCCTGGGACCCCACTATACTGCTCTCCTTGGACTCCATAGGACATAGGGCAACCTTTTAATGGGGGATAACTTTATAACAAGGTCTTTTTGTTCCTTCAGTTACTAAGTCCTCTTGGCAGGGCTATAAAACAGACTAGCCAGTGTTATTCAGAATTCTGCGATAGTATTCCTTATACTACAGCGAGCTACTTCTTCCCAATAGATAGGGGAGCATGTATTCCTCAAGTAGAGGAGATGAGAATCACCTCAACTTCTCTCTCCCCTACCTGAGATAAATTGTCTCCTTGAATTAAGCTTGTACTCAGTTCAAGGAGATGATTCCCTGCCCCTCCTCACCCAATACACACACACTCACACTCACACTCACACTCACATACACACACACACACACACACACACACACACAGAGCTAGTGTACAACAAGATGTCGCTCCCAGATTCTGGCTATGGCTCTCTGATCCTACTTTCAAAATGGTGTCAAAAGTGTAGGGGAGATGACAGACACTGCCACCCAAAGGAATGCTGTCTCCACCCACTAAAAGACTGTGTAGCAATAAAGTGTAAGTCAGACCAGGCTCTGACTTCTGGGCTCCCAAAGGGTAGACTTCTCTGAGGAAAGCTACATGGGGTTGGTATGAAGTCACGTGGGTGTCAGATAAAAGCTTTGCCATCTTTAAGCAATTGATCAATGATTGCCCTCATTCAATGGCCGGCATTTTGTTGTCTCCTAAAAGGACAACCAGACTGACAGTGGGATGGTTCTTGCATCAGAAGAACTGAAGACACTGGAGGCCAGATCCAAACTGGCACCACCATTTAGGTAAGGCTTTGCCAGATAGAAAGACACATAATGATGTGGTTAATAAATAGTTATTGGCTATTGATTCATTCATTCATAGGGTCATAGGACTTAGAGATGGAAGGGACTTTGGAGGTTATCTTAATTCAATTCCCTCATTTTATACTTGAGGAAACTGAAGCTCGAAGAAAGTAAATTCACTTGCTTAAAATTCTATGGCTAAAAAATAGTTAACTAAAAACTGGGATTTCAAACCAGATCTTCTGAGGCCAAAATCCAATACTCTCTCCACTGCTTAGATGACTAATGTGGGGATTGCTAGATAGAAGTAGAATGAGGAATTATCAGACAATATGGACATGATCAATGAGGCTATTTTAATCTTCTTAAAATCTTTATGGCCATTAAGATTTTATTTAACCTTCCCACAAACTATTTTCTGTGTACTTTAATGAAGAGTGTGCATATTACCCTATGTGGATTTGGCATACAAATAAGTTGAGATAACTACACATTAAAAACTAGTTGAGCTATTTATTATGTGGGTTTCAGGCAGTAAGAAAAAAAATTTCTTTAATTTACCTTTACCTGAGAAGATTGCAGATAATAGTTTTCTAGAACAATTTTTCTGGATTGTACAAACCTAAGCACATACATGTAGAGTTTATACAATCCTTATGTGATATTTCATATGTATAATTTGGATGTCTAAATAATGGAACAAACTGTAAATAGTATATAAAAGTACAACTCATCATATTTTAATTCAATACGGTTTACATTTCTAAGTTTCACTATATCTGCCATCTTCCATGAATCCAACTCATTAAGGACATTTTCTGGTTGCTGCTGAGTGATTCATCTCTTTGGTTTCTCCAAAGAATGTGGTTTTGATGAGTCAATAGCAGTTCTGACATAGCCTCAATTGTGTACACATTTGAGGTTATTAACACTTAAAGATGCACAAAGATTTTATTAGCATCATTTCTGTGTCCTCTAATCCCATCTCTGTGAGTGTAGGGGAAACACAAATAAACTTTCAGAGCATCCTGATTTCTTTTAAGATCAGCAAAGAGCCCTCTTAGCTTGGATAATTATCTTATAAACAGCTGGTCAATCAGTAAGGCCATAAACATGTTCCATTGGCAGAAACCTTTGCATCCCTTTGGGTAAATGTCTTTCATCTAATCTAGTGCTTGAAAGACCTGGACCTGAATAAGAGGGCTTATCACTGACAACCAAATTCATGCTGGTACCTGAAAATAGTCATTATCCCAAGCAACCTGATATGTTGATTAGCACAGGGAGAGATAGGAATGGGTACCATTGCTCTCTAGGGAGATTACAAGGCCCCATGGGGTTAGGGTTGGGAGCAAGGGAAAACCTCCATTTGATCTACTCATTTTGTCATCATTTCTTCCACAGTGCACTAATACCCAGTAAAAGCAAAGAGTCTGTGACATCTGAAGCTTCGAACCAGACCAGCGGCTACCAGTCAGGGTATCATTCTGATGATACAGACACCACTGTTTACTTGAGTGAAGATACAGAACTCTTAAATCCTGGGGAAAGTGAGACCCAATCCTGCAGTGCACACACACTTCAACCTGACTCTTGGATGCCGCTAAACTCACCTCCTGTTTAAAGTCAAAGAGTGGCCCCCATCTCTCCACAACTGGAAATCACATGGATTGTCCTGAAGAGTCATGGCTCAGACATTGGAAAGCTATTGTTTCCTTATCAAGGAAACAGCACATGTTTGATTTTTGTAAAAAAAAAAAAATGAAAGACGACCTCAGTTACCAGGAAGCCAGTTGAACAGTAGCAAATGACAAAGTATTTTACTGGGAAGAAGTCGGTGACTCAACAATGAATGTTTTGAAGGCACATTATCTGCCTTGGCCTTATCTTTTCTCTTCATTCATCTGTTCATTCATTCCTTCTAAAAGCATTTATGAAGTCTCTACTTTGTGGCCAGCTTTGGTCGATATGAATGAAGTAGAAGAAATGGTCCTGCTCTCAAGGAACTTACAAATTAATTAGGGAATCAAGATACAAACACGACATGGCCAGGGAATAATTCAAGGTGTTACAAGTGCTATAGAACTTTGGGAAAATGAAATGTTATGGTGGATTGTGGTTAGTCTAGGAAAGTTTCATAGGAAAAATGGGTCGCAAACTGAGCCTTAGAGGAAGTATTTGGATTGGTAAAGAAGTGGGTGGTGATATTAAATTGCTTCAAATGGTTATGGGAGCCCCTAAATGAAGCTGATTGGTAAGGAGCTGGCAGGGAGATTTACTAGGAAATTTCAAGACCTCAGATGAGGGTATTGTGATTAGAGGGTGGCGTGCTCTTTCTTAACTGTGCTAAATGAGAGTCCCTTATGCTATTTCTGACTGTGCTAAATGAGAGCTCCTTCCGGGCCTTTCTGTAGTTCCAGGCCAAACTAACTCCAGGAAGGAAAAGATATGACTCTGGTTCCTTGTCTCCCAGGCTAATCTTTTATTCAGAATACCACAAAGAAAGGGAAACTGTCAGGCTAAAGCTCCCAGCCATTTATAAGGCTTCAGACCCAGAGTCCTTCGGGCTTTGGTTGGTCTTTCCTGGATGAAGAGCACATGTGGCTTTGTGAAAAGTGTTAAGGGCTAAACATCATTTGACTCAAGGCAGCACCATGAAGGAAGAAGTTTGTTTTTCCATTTCCCCCCAATATTTTAATTATTTGGCCACTCCTGCTCCAATGACAGTGGATTTAGATTTATTCATTGTTTGCCAAGCTTCCAAACTATGTCTTTGTAGCCAGAGTTCTAATACCATCCACTGTACATTTAGATTTTCTAACATATAAAGCTATTTCTACCGGATTTCTGCCTTCCTATCCCTTTTCTTAAAAAAAAATGTATTTTTTTGTACCATAGTGTGAAATGCTGGGAACTATGACTATAAAACATAATATGGCAATACACTATTTATATAGCCTGTTTATGTAGAAACAAATGTAATATATTAAAATATGTTCTATATAAGGAATTTTGTACTATTCACATTTTTATATCTGTTATGCAGCATGTCAAGGAGAACAATGTTTTTAGAAATTGATGTCATTTTATTAAAAAAAAGAATTGGTCACTTTGCAAGGCTTCAGACTATACCTCTTATTTTAGAATCCATTCATGCTATCAGATTTAATGCTACCATATTGAATTTCTACTTTTTTATACCTATTGTAATTTATGCCATCAAATGACATGTCACTGATTCTTAATAGTGGTATAGCATAGGGTCCTAAAATCTTGGAGTTGAAGGGACTCCAGACATCATCTAGTCCATTCCATGCCCAAAAAATGAGTCCTACCAACAACTCGACAAGTGGCCATTCCATATTCTGCTGGAAAATCTCCAGTGTCGGGGACTTCTACTTGCTGAGGCAGCTCATTCTATTTTTGGATAGTTCTAATAGTTAAGTATTATTATTTTTATATCGAGCTAAAATCCACTCCAATCCAACAAGGCTGTGTTGAGCATCCATTATGGGACAAGACTGTACTAAACACCGGGGATATGAAGGAAGGATCAAGCATTTATTTAAATACCTACTATGTGCAAAGCACTTTACAAATATTATCAGATTTGATCCTCACAACAACCCAGGGAAGGAGGTGCTATTATTATCCCCATTTTACAGATGAAGAAACTGAGCCTAAGAAAGGTTAAGTGACTTTTAGTGTCTGAGGTTAGATCTGAATTCAGGTTTTCCTGACTCCAATATTCTATTCACTATATTACCTAACTACCACTCATTCTTGGCCACAGCAGGTGGGAAAATGGGCCATAGTTTAAAGCCAAAGTAATTTTCCAGATTTGGAAAGGAAAGGGCTATTTAAGGGATGGAGTCCAAGGTTTTTGACTCCCTTCCCCCACCCCACACCAACTTCCTCTCCAATTGACTCCACCCCCAGCTTGGACACTAACTTAATATGTGACAAACCATACAATTTAGATCTACCTCTGCTTTTTTCCAAGGGGAAATAAGGTTAGGTTTCATTCCCAAATCATGGAAATACTGGCAACCCTAAAAGCAGACAAAGCTTTTAGTTGTACTATTTTTCTTCTCTTAAATTAAGAGCATGTAGGGATGGCACACATACTGCACCCAATACTTGTATCAATTATCTCAGCCTCTGCTCAAGGGTGAGGGTGCACTATTCTTCCCTGGTCCAACCACAGCTGGAATACCTTTGGTAGTTTTTGGTGCCTCATGTAAGGAAGGACATTGTTAACCAGGAGAATATGCAAAATGGGAATGGGTCTCTAGTCCACACCATGTGAAGATTAGATGAAGGAATGAGGGATATTTAATCAATAGAATAAAAGACTCAGGGGTGACATGATAGCAACTTTCAGGCTTAATTGTGAAAGAGAGATTAGATTTGTTCTATTAGTCTCAAAGAGTAGAGTTAGGGTCATAAGAGCACAGATTTAGAGCCAATAGGTACCTCCTCTACCTTTTGACTTTACAGATAGGGAAACTGACACCCAGAGAAGTTAAGTACCCAATGTCACACACTTAGAAAGATGGAGAGCTCATCCCACTGAGCCATTGCTGCAACTCATGGAAACTCCAAAGAGGAGAAATTAGATTTGGTATAATGAAAAGCTTTCTAATACTGAGTGTCAAAAGTGGTCTTAGGAGGCAGAGGGATTCCCCTTCCTTCTGGTCTTCAAGCTAAGGCTGGGTGATTCTTTGTCATGTGTGTTGTAGAAGGGATTCCTTTTAAGGTATCAGTTGGATCGGATGGCCACTGGGTCCCCTTTCAAGTCTGAAATTCTTTGATTCTGTTCCTCTGAAAGAGGAAAAGATACATTGAAGACAACACCAGTTCTGAGTTCAGAGGATCTGGGTTTTAATCCTAATTCAACTACCTACTACCTGTGTGACTTAGGCAAATCACTTCTGGGACTGAACGTCCTTATGTGTCAAATGAAGAATGGCCTAGGTGAGCTGAATGCCCCTTCTAGCTTTAAAATTCTGTGATCTCATGGGTAAAGAAACTGTCTTGGACAAAATGGGAGGTGCGGGGATATCAACAACATGCTTCAGCCATTGCTACTCCCTTTGACCGGAATAGAAATTTCTTGCTCCCTATTCTCTTGCTTTACCGTACTCCCCTGTACCCCAAAGTCCATCTAGTTGCTAAGGATTAGGTTTTTGATTGAAGTATTAAATTCACAACTAAGAATGTATTAGATTTAATGTGGTCCACAGATAGGAGTCCTGGGTCCCTTTCACCCTTTGAAACAGTATATGAGCTCACAAATCACTTCCCAGTGCCTCCCTTCCCTTCTTAATAATGTAGAGCTGCTAATACTGATCTCTCTACATAGTAGGGGTGTGAAGTTTAGCTAAGTTATCGATGAGGAAACTGGAGATCTTGGCAGGCTGGACACAGTCAGGATTTAAACCCAGTTTCTCTGACTCCAAATCCAATACTCTCTCTCTGCCATCTTATCTGGGTCACACTCTCTTTCCTAGACTCTAAGTTCCTAGGGGACAGGGCCTGTGTCACGGAGAATCATAGTCGGAGGGAACCTCAGAAATTCCACCCACTCATCTTACAAAAACTGAGGCTCAGTGAATTGAGTTGCTTAAGATCACACAAGTGCACCATACATGGAAGGTTTCTGCTCACCTCCCATCCCTGCGGGACCCTGCTCCGGGGTCGTCTCCAATGCCAGACTGCTCTCTGCTGTGCAGATGACCAAGGCACCCCTGCCTCCTGACCCCGTATCTCCATCTGCTCCTGCCTGCCACGAGGTGGGCCTCCTTGGATGTTATAGAACCCTACATCATCTGCCAAGGAGGACCTCAAACAGTATAATCTCATACCTCGATGATCTCCTCTCCAACCTCTGCACCTCTCCCATTCCCCTAAACTCGTCATCTCAGTGACCCTCAACCCCTGACTGCCAATATAGGAACCCTTAGTCCTCTTGCTGGACTTGCTGCTTCCTCGTGCCCATCTACCTTGACCATTCAACACTCCCTCCCCCCTAAAAAAAAATCTCACTCCAGATTGGCAGACCCTACCACTGACCTCTGAGATGCTTGTTCCATCATGAAAAAACTCTTTTGTCTTAAACCTCTTTCTTACTCCTTACATCTTCTGAGCCCCACTGAGACCTGGCTCATTCCCGGCACTGCTTTTAGTACAGGTTACACTTTCTGTTATTCCCTCTGCCCAATTGGTCACAATCAGGGAGTCAGACTACTCCTTTCTCTCCATCGCCACTTACAATCTCTCCCTATAACCAACTTAACCAAGCTACTTTTCCTTTGAAATTCATGATAGGGAAATTTTTCACTCAGTCTGAATACCGGCCTGCTGTTATCTATAGGTTGCACCTCCCCTGGGTGTGTCTCCTTCCTTCTTCAATGAACTCAGTCTTTCTCTAAAACTGCATTTAATGATCACAACCTTTCATCATTCCAACTTTCTTTCTGCCTTCTTTATTCTCATCATGACCACCACCCCTCAGCTCCTTTCCAGGCCATCACATCAGCTTTGGCTCCCCCATCCTTCCTTCCCTATTCCAAGCCCATCACCCTTGGTTCTTCTTGCTCCCTTGTCCTATTACCAGTCATGCCTTGCCAAGCCCCATGTCCCAATTACTCCCATCATCTTCTCCCTTTCCTCTAACTCACATGATGCTGAATGGAGCGGGACGATATCATGAATTTCCTGTAGCTCACTCCCCTATGTGCTCTCTATGATCTAGCTCCGCTGTCTACTTGCAATTCCCAATGCATCATGTTA